TCATAGGTTTTGATGTGAAAAACATTTTCAAATAGTATTAGCATTTAAAATAAAATTTTAATGGTGTGGATTAAAAACTTTAAAAGAAAAAGATGAAATTAAAATTAAAATATAGAGATTGTACAAAGATAAGAGTTCCATATTTTTTATCTCTAAAACAAAAGTTATACTGCTAACAATGCCAATATATAATGACAAAAATGCAGTAAGGTGCCACTATGTGTCAAAATGTCACAGTACAAATCCCTTTTTTGAATATAAAAACATACAACTCCTATATATTTTGAATATAGATGTTATTTTTCACTCCTATCTAGGATGATTTAATTTCTTTAAATTTAAAAATGTTACCGTTAAACGCTACCATTAGATAACTTTTTTAAAAAACTAATGCTAAACGATGAAGTTGTTCCCAACAAACCCCCATTTTGAAAGGCTTCGTATTTTTCTTAAATTTGAAATAAGGAGGAAACAAGATTTCAGCATGTATAAAAAAAGTTTTACATGTATAATTAGTTTAATTTATAAACAAGATTTGTATTATTAGTTTAATGTACAAAAAAATTGTGTTTCTCCTTTTCCAATGTATCAAAAACAGAAAAAGTTTAAAGAATAAAAGAAAATTGGGAGACACAAAATAATTGTTTTTTTAAATATCGTAAGTATATCTCTGGCTGTAGTAATGGAGTGAAGTTATATATAGCTGCAGCCAGTAGGGAGTGAGGTGGCAGCCAATGCCAATCTGGCGCCTCACACATAAACTACAAGTGAGCATTGCATGTGTGTGCACTTCAATTCATACGCAGTACTTCGTTCGGAGATATACCTAAATAGGACTAAAACATACACAATATACTTAAATAAAACTATAAACTTAAAATCCCCTATCTAGGACTAATTTTTTACACGGCACCCCAAAATGCCCTTGCTTTAATCCAAAATCCGGAACTAGCATTTTCATGCATGAGGAAGTAAAGACCAGCAAATCAGCAACATTAAATAGGAGTCGTTTTGGATCGGCATCCCCGGGCTAGAGTCATTTGCCTTTGGCAGAAGAAAGAAAAAGAAAAAAGAAATACATTTCCTTTGAGATGAAAAGGAAAGAGAGTTGAAATTAGGAAGAGGACCTCCATGAAAGGCTCCTCCACACACCCACACACACGCACAGGGGAAACCTAAATAAGATTAAAAAAATAGAAAATATATTTTAAATAGGAGTTCAAAACATAAATTCACCACATATGAATAAATTTGCATTGCCATCCCCAAAATATTTCTCAACATTTGTGACGCGGGATTTTTTCCTCATTACCTCATTAATCGCGCTACATGTCTACAAGACCACAAGTACTTGACCACATGTCCACATGTCACATTACCACAGTGCGAACTCTTATTTTGGAAATAAAAACATGGAGCTCCAATGTTAGTATTTTCTCTAAAATAGGAGTAAAACAATNAGCATGACCATGAATGCAAATAAATTGATCAAGTTGGAATTCACAACATGTGCATGTTTTGTCCTTTAAAGTTTAAACTCATATGGACATGTTGGATTTAAATGCATAACAAAAAAATAAAAATATTCAATGGTTAATATGCAATTAAAAAAAATCATGATAGTCCAGCAAAGTATGTAATGTGGATATTACCAGTGTCATAATCTGTAATGTGGTGATGAATATTACGAACCATTGTAATGTAAAGTGTCATAGTATGTAATGTGGTAATGTGTATTACAAAGAGTTGTAATGTAGACGGGGCAGGATTGTGAAGTGTGACGCGGAAAGAAAAAGGAGGGCAAAATCGGGAGAGAAAGAAAGAATATGGCGGGAGAGGTCCTAGTTGGGGGATAAAAAACATGAACTCCTATTTTAGGGATAAACACAATGTTTTAGTCCTATTAGGGGTGATTTCTATACTTCGTTGGGAGCGCCACGTTTATAAATAATACTCCCTCCGTCCCTAATTAAACTTCCCCTTTCGTTTTTTATTTGTCCACAAATAAACTTTTCTTTTCCCTTAAAAACCCCTTTTACCCCTTACTTTTTCATACCCTACATATCACATCATACCTTTTTACTAATAATCTACCTATCACATCTTACTTTTACAGATCACATCTAGGGTATTTTTAGAAAGTCAACACAAAAATATCCCTCCCTTAAATCATTAAAAAGTCAAAAATGGAAGTTTATTTAGGGACGGAGGGAGTAATAATTAATAATAATAATAATAATAATAATAATAATAATAATAATAATAATAATAATAATAATAATAATAATAATAATAATAATAATAATAATAATAACAACAACAACTTCAGTTCTCATGTCTTCATTCATTTTTCTATCCATACGTGTATGAGTGCTAATCCAATGAAAAAGCTGGTTGTTTCTTGGAATATCTCAAACCATTTCTCATCATCAATATGTATATGGTCATAAAAGTGATGAAAAGTAGAATTTATGGGAAATGTATGAGGCATTAAGTTATGTAAACAAAAGCATAACCTTTTTAACTTACCCATGGCAGTCAAAAGTGGCTTTATGGCATTTGAATATCTATTTACCTCCTTCCTTTTCAATAGTCTATGTAGTGTCTCTTTGGAACATTTAATTGAGAAACCACTACCCTCATATTTTTTTCTATAAAGGAAAATCCTGCAATCTTCTGTAAATCTAAATCCAATTTTTCCCTTTCATCTATGTTTGAACATCAATTGGTAGTCCTTTTTGCATTTAACCCTATCAGTTTAAAGAAATCAGAATGAGTAGAAAGAAATCGATCGCCAAAGTTTTGTCGCGAGTATTGACGTTTGGTCCCTTGATGATTGACCGATTACACTGTTATATTACAGTGTTATCACTGTTTCATCAAACTACCATTATATATCGTTCTACTATTTAAATAATTAAGTTAGGTGCTCTGATTTGGTACTTTAGCTAAGATTTACACCAATATAGTAAGATTTATTATAACAAAGGTAAAAGCTATAGTGGACTTATAGTCGACACTGTTTTAGATAGATCTTCATATAAAGGTCATACGTAAATGCTTATAATCCTGATATGTATTTTTTGCAAAAAGAAAAAATAAAAAAAGAAAATGCTTTTTATAAAAGAAGGTCCACAAAAATTAGTTTAGACCCTAGGTTCACCAAAGACGGTAAAGTTTTGATTTGTTCTTCCATGATCCTAAAATTCACATATGAAATGTACATTTTTCATGTGTTGGTAAGTGGATCTTTTCTTTTTTTGTAAAATACCCAATTTTTTAACGATATCAATATACTAAAATTTATAAAATGAACATGAACATTAAGAACACGCAAGAATTTTCGGCCCATACCTCTATACTTTCCTACGGAGTATTTCCTACCCTTATTACTATTTTTACTACTCCCTCCGTTCCACAAAACCATTCCCATTTTGACTTTGGGCAAAAATAAGAAAAATGTAATTTTGGTTGACTTTCCAATTTTGCTCCTGATGTGATGGAAAAAAGTAAGATGTGGTAGTTTGATTATTAGTGAAAAAGTATGATGTGATAGGTAGGGTATAAAAAAGTAGAGGTAAAAATGGTTTTTTAATAGAAAGTGGAAGTGTTTTGTGAAAAACAAAAAAACGAAAGGAGAAGAATTTTGTGGGACGGAGGGAGTATTTTTTTTCCCACTAATTTTATCTTATTATATTCACATGTACGGAGTATATGAGTCATATTAGGGCTACATTAAATAGTGTACTTTATTTGTACACTAATAATCCTCACCATACATTCTTTATCTACTTATCATTTTTATATCTGCACCAGGATTGTATGGTTGAGATGTAATAGGGTATAAACTTTTTGGTGTATCTATATAGTATTTTTCCGGAGTATAAAAGTGCGGAAGTACCAAATGGATATATGAACACATATTATATTATAATAATAAATTTAATCATGTTGAAAAAAATATTCATAAATTTCGTGCATCGCAAGTACTCCGCAAGTTTTATCCTTCACGAATCACACTTGTCTAGCACAGTCAAAAAGACTCAAACACGTATTAATTACTCTTTAGTCTTTTTAGTTTAGGGAGTTGTGAATGACTGTAAAATGAAAAGGGGCGATGTCGACCGACCAAAAAAGATGGAGGTGATGTGGCATGGGAATTGTCGTCCTTTCCAAAGGCTTCTTGACCTTAATGGAAGTGATTGCCTGTAGAGTGGAATTGAAAATTCTACAAAAGCCAATTCAGAAAGCTTCATTTCTTATGGAGTATTCCCTAGTTCAAAGTTCAACCAATTGGGAGTTCACAAATAAAATAGTCATAAAGTTCGCAAATTTATCATTTATTATTTAAATTTTCATTTTAAAATGATTTTAGACTATTTTATTTTCTATATTAAAACTCACAAATAGTAAATTTGTGAGATTTATGACCATTTTATTTGTGAATCAACTCATTTGGAAAAAAATGGTTAATAATTTAGAGACAAATGAAAATAAAAAGTGGAAAGATGATTTAGAAACAAGAGATTTTCCCTTGAGAAATACTGCACTTAGGAGGGCAGTGAAGAATGATTTCAATGAAACTGAACTGTTAACTTCTCAATGATGACAAGCGAGAACAGGCTTCACCTATCAAAGTGTGGTGCTAAAAAGCAATCTTTTTGCTTTTCCATTTTACTCTTCAAGTAAACAAAAACATGCTTCTCCTTTTCTCATTTCCCTTAATGAGAGACCACAAAGGATTAGGGTTGTTGGTTAGTCTTTTGAACGGGATTGTTTTTGTTCGTGTCGTGTGTGTTCTAGGTCTGCGGTCTTTTTTGCTTGTAGCTGTTTGTATGCATTTTTGTCTCATTGTGCTTCTATGTGTTTCTATATTACTGGAGCTGAGGATCCCCTGGAAACAGTCTCATAAAGGAGGCAAGACTAAATAAATTTTTAAAAAGCATCATATCTGAATTGAATAGGAAACAACTCTCTTCCAATGAACCAATTACTAATTTGAATATAAGATTGTGACAAAGATATATTGATACAAAGCAAAGATCTGGTGCGAGTTCTTAAACCAAAGCATTCCTTGTAAATCCTCTTAGAAATAGGGTATGTGGGATATGCATGTTCAACAACAATAAGTTAAATGTTTCAAAATCACAATGAAAAATACATCACATTGTATCTCAGCGCGTAGAATTTAAAACCAAGACACACAAGGGGCCGGGGGATGGAAGGAGAAAAAAATGCTTACAAATTCAGGACTTGATATTGGTAGCTTGTGACGGTGCTCTCCTCCCTCTCTACAATAACATTGGCATTATAGGTAAGTAAACGCTGCCAAAAAAGACTGCATAACACCATAAATGGTTAGATAAAGTTGCATCAACAATTATAAGAATTCCGAATAATGCAAATATATACTTGTTAGAAAACATGGGATAGAAGAGTTTCTGAAACACCCTATACACAATGGGAAAGAACAAAACTTTATTTAAAGTTCTACAATCCTTGCTAGTTGTCATTTTCTGGCTTTTTACAAGGCATCCTCCCTGTTTTTGGGTTTTCCATACTAACCTCTAGCCTTGGTCTTTTTGTTGTCAAAGAAGAGCCCTCCTTATTTTTATCTCACAGTTTTCTACCACCCTCAAATTGTTAAACTGTATAAACCAGTTCCCTCTCTCAGAGCAGAAGATAAGACCTAATGTTTTATCCCTTCATACATTATGTTTTAGGGAAGTATATAGTTGTAAGGGTATCAAAAAATGACATCAGGCCATGTAAAAGAATGACATCATCTTTGTGGCGTCATAGGAAAGACTAAGGAAGAACAATCTTGTATTATACTCTGTACTCGTTTATATCTTGTACTTCCCAATCAATGTAGGACAAACATTCATTCCTCCATAATAATTCAGATGGTATCAGAGCCTGCCATTTTTCTAGTGAGAAATGTCTTTTTCCGGATCGAACCTGGTTGGCTCATAACTGGGGATTGATCTCCTCTTTGAACCTGTGTGTGATGTGGTCCCTCATGTCTTTGTCGCTGGTCTCTTCTTCCCAAGTGGTGTGCTCATTTTGGCTGATTATGGCTATGATGGGTATTCTCGTTTTGACTAGTTCCTTGCTTATTGTGCCCTACTTGTTGGGAAACATTGTCGCTTAGTGTACTCCGGTGTACTTCTGATTCGGGTTTGGGTCCATGGTCATGGTCTTGTTATGGCCTGCATGCTGGTTTACTTATGCTAGGGGTTCCGTCTACCCCTGCTCATGTGAAACACTGTCTGATGGCCTACATGCCAAATTTTGGTAGTATTTTGGGTTGTGTGCCTCAGGCGTGTCTACGCTTGTTTTAGACTAGCGTCTTACTGGATCGTGGCCTGTGTGCCAATCTCGATTTGCTTGGGGATGCCCATTCTTAAGTTGTATATTTCACACTCAGGTTACTAATACGGAGTACATAATTTGCAGGTTACCCAAAAAACAGTTATGTTTTTCAACGACTGCGCTAAGCTTGTAGTGGTCCACAAAATCTGAACCCACCACCATTGCTCAATTTCCATCATCTTTGATTGTGATTACATCTAATGAGTATGAATCAAATCAGAATTCTAAAGCATCTAATCTCTCAGTATCTCCAACTGAATTGTCTAAAGAGTAATTTACTTAAATAGGACTAAAACATAATGATTTTCCTAATATAGGACCATACGTTTTTATTTCCCAATGTAGGACTTTAGGTCATTATAAATTAGTCATTATTCAAGTAAATGTCCATCATTACTGGACATTATTTCTCTCACTAAGACATTAATAAGTCCTATTTAGGGAATAAAAAAGTTTAAGTCCTAGATTAGGAAAGTCATTATGTTTTAGTCCTATTTAGTGCAAATTTCACTTGTCTAAAACATGTGTCTAGAACAGATCTAGGTCTAGTATCATTTACTCTACCACATCTCATCATATTTATGCTAATCCTTAACGTTTGTCTGACATGTTAAAATCAGGGAACTTGCCCTTAATCTTGCTAATGGTCTTCAAACACCTGCCACGGGAACATAGGAAGTAGGAACATCTCTTTTATAGATATTTTCCAACTAGAGCAAGTCCCGTTTGTTTCCACTAGCCCCTTTAACATTGCGTCTTGAAGCAGAATCACTAAATCTCTTAAATGTTTCATATGCTGAATGCTGATACTTTCTGACGTTCTGTTTGGTGGCTAAAACTCCTTCCATCCAATTGATTTTGTCCATGGCAGCTACGAGTCACTGGCAACTGCTCTAGTTAGTGAAAATGTTATTTTTTTCCATGGTAACTTAGAGGAACAGGTTTATATGGAGCAACAAACTGGTTTTGTTGCTTAGGGGAAGTATAGTATTGTATACAGATGGTTTGGAAGTTTAGTTTTGTTGGTTTGAATGTTAAAAACAATGCTTGTTCACATTCTAGACTAAAAATTTGGGGAAATTTTATAATTTCCCTGGCATGTAGAGCATCAAATACTTCTACGGATCAAAATGTCAAGCTTGTAGCAGAACGGGGTAGCATATCTTCACTAAGGCTCTGTTCGTTTGGTTTGTAAAAATATAGTTGGACATTGGAAGAAACTAGAAGGATTTGGAAGAAATTGGAAGGAGCTGGAAAATGTTGGAACTTCGAAGTTAAGAGTTGGAACTCGGAAATGTTGTCACAAGCTATGTTTGCACAGACTACCAATTTACTAATGTACTGCCAACTAACAAGGCTTTATGAGGTCCTAGAATAGGATATATTTATACCAAGCTCGGTGCATAACTGCATACCCCATCCGTCCCAATTTATTTTCTCATTTGGAAGAACGTGCAAAATCTCATCTCTTTTAAAATGATTTGTTTGCAAAATGATAGAGAATTAAAAAATACAAATTACACTGTTCAAAACTACATCAAAACTTCAAGAAAATAAGAGGTGACGAGAATATTTTATATTATCAAATGATGAATGAAAACATATATACAAACATAAGTTATTGAGAAGCCGTAATAATAACTAGGAAGATTAATTTGGGACAGAGGGAGTATTACTTATATGCTCCGATTTGAGAGGGTGTGGAATATATAGTTGTAACAAATAAGTTGTACATAGTTGTAAAAGCATCTAGATGAATGACATGATGGCAATCTTGAAGAATGATTTCATCTTTGTGATGTCATTAGGGAAACTTAGAAAGATGACTCTTGTAATTCATATATATATATATATATATATGTATGTATGTATGTATGTATGTATGTATGTATGTATGTATGTGTGTGTGTGTGTGTGTGTTTATATAGAGAGAGAGAGACACACACACACATATATACAAACACACACACACACTCCCCAGGTATATCATGTACTTCTCCTCAATCAATATTAGAAAAGTAATCATTTTTCATTAATCATTCACAATTTTCAAATGAGTGTTTTAACATTATTCTATCTTAATTACCAGCCTAGGAAATTTAAGAAAGGTGGAGCTTCTTATCTGAGTCTTTAATGCTAATGTATTCTGCGTGTTTTGAAATCTTAATAGTCATTTTAGTAAACATTTAAACTTACAGAAGAGTGGATGGCGATCCACTTCGCAAATTTTTGGCACTGATTATTGTACAACACTTTTTCACCAACTTATTCCATAGGTAGCATTAGTTAGTCATAACATTTACAATCCATATAGGTTTTACCAGATTCAGAGCATGGAAAATTTACATAATCAATAGACAAAGTACCTCGACAAAATGGCTCATAATGAACTTCCATTAATAAAGTGTAAACTAATCTTGCAAGTCCCTGCCTTCAATTTCCGTATACAATCACTTTAAGTTGCGCTGTCACTTCTGGATGAAGTTTGAGTTCAGCAGTGTATTCTCCAGTTTCACGAATCTCTGGAAGAGAAACTATTCTTTTGTCCACATCCCTACATAGAAATACGGATAATATGTGTGTTGGGTTTAACTTTAGAAAATGCATAGAACAACAACAACCCAGTAAAATCCTACAAAAGTAGGGTACGGAAAGGGTGTGTATGAGCAGACCCTTATCCTACCCAAAAATGCATGGTAAAATGAAATATGATAACTCTTTTCAAAATTCGAGTATATATGTATTTTGATATCATGGCTTTCAAATAATAGGTCTGATGTAAATATATACGGAGTAATTATTATAAAATTCAAATCCTGATGTGTGTGTGTGTGTGTGTATAAAGACTAAAATTACATACATTTATGAATTTTACACTATCTGGTATTTTGCCCCACATTTTTCTTCCTTCCAAATTATCCATACAATTTCTTCCCTAGTAATTTCTGGGTCTCAAATAAACCTTAAGCAAGATGGATTTTGGGACTTTGGAACGAAAAAGACCATAAAAGCATATCCTTTTAATGTTTTTTTTCAGATTTTATGTATTAGTCAGCATTCCCATGTCATGCTGAAATATTCATTGGGGAATCATACCTTTGTAATTGAGCTTTGATTATGTCCACAAGATCTTGGGTAGTGACACTGTAAAATTTTCGCACAAGTGAATGACAATGCAATCCCAAATACACTCGATGGGGCAATATGAAAGTACTCTTTTATAACTGAACAAACCATTCTAACTCACCTTCCGAATATTTGTTTTCCTTTACCGACCGTGCGTTTTACTTTCAAGCCTCCAAAAGTTTCAAAAACTAGAGCAAGTTGCTGTGCTTCTTCTTTAACCTGGATGCATTATTAAAATTTAAAATGATCCAAGTATTTATGACCGCAATTATTTATAAAACTGTTTAGTACAGCAACAACAACAGTAACAATGACAAACCAGGTTTAATCCCTCAAGAATTGTTTGGCAGTATACATTTTTTAAAAATGGCAATATGTATCCATAACCTGGCACTCATACCCGTCTTTTCTCAGCCTCAATTCTCTCTTCTTCAATCTTCATTTCTCTGTGATGAAGCATTCAAACTTTTAAATTTAGTTGTCCATGAAAAATATGATCGTTATTACATCCTCTGGATTAAAACTAATGGCATGACCTATACTTTTTGTGGACTCTCATTGAGAAATTAAGTTAAATCGTAAACAAGTGTAATTTAAGGATGAAAAAGATTATATAGACCGTCTAGCAAGCCTCATACAAGCTATAAACTATGGCCCTGCTAAACTCTGCAAAACAATTGAATATAGAAGCGAAGTACTGAATGTAGGATTTCAAACCAGAAATATCATTTCCATTTTGTTATAAAAATGAAAAATAATGGTAGATTCTGAGTAATATCTTCAAGAAATTAAATTTAAAGGGTTAAATGGCAAGACAAACAATAGAATATCTACTCAAATTCAATTAAATCGCCACCTTCTATCACATACTCTGCCTTCTACACCATAGTTACTTACACTTCTCCTCCCCTCTCCAATTTATTCTCACCCAAACAAGGACACGATAAATTGCTTTTCGAACTCTGACCATTCCCTTGCTTACACTTTCGAACAATTTCATTAATCACATTTCTTATACTCAACTCAAACAGATCTTAAGGTATCACATTTCTATCTCTCAAACATGAATCCATATAGTATATAGTTATGAAAAAAACTATTGTGTCCCCACGGGTGACAATGTCATGAGAACAATCACAGGTAGTGTCACCCATGGTGTCACCAGTAGGGCACAATAGTGGGGCTCATAAAATTATATATCTCACCAGTTCTCAGTAAACATTGTTCCCATGAAAATCTCACTTTTCAGTAGAACCTTTCATGGATAAATGAAAAACAGGCAATTCACTAACACCATGTGTGGTTCAAGGAATTATATAGGAAAGGAAAAGAAAAAGGTTTTCTCTCTTTTTCCCACCAAAATGAAAGAAATTTTGTTATTTCTCCTCTTAGTTCATTTTGCCTTTCTCATTTTCATTTTCATCCACTTTTCTTTTTTTTTCCTCTCGAACCAAACAAGAAAAATAATTTCCGTATCATTTTCTTTTATCTTTCAAATTCATTGAACAAAACATAGTGTAAACATCACAAAATCTTACTTAAGAAGTTGAGATGTGACAATTTGAGCCATTCCCAGCGGATGCAGGTAATTCCTATAGTAACCTGCCTTCACAGCGCACAGCTCTCCCTTCTTCCCCAACGCTTCCACATCCTCTTTCAGTATTATCTGCGCGTTCCGGACATGTATTGCGATTAGTTACAAAAAAATTGAGGAATTGAAACGAAATTAGGGAGGTTACGAAAACCTAAATTGCATATGAGAGAAACTTCCGGCTTACCTTTCTGAGCTTCTTGGATTTCTGTTGAGATACAATGGTGCAATATGAGGTCCTCGGAGGAAGCTTTGCAGCGGTAAACGGCGGCGTATTGTTGCCTGCAAGTAGACTGTAGTTTCTTCTAAGGTATGAAGAAGAAGAAGAAGAGGAGGAGCTCAATGGCAGAGCTGTTCCCGTGATTGCCATTTTTATGATCAGAAAGAACCTTGTGAACGAAGAAGCTCCTGTGTGTGATCTTATCCGTTGATAGGTGATGGCGTTTGTCTTTGAGGGCGCGATCTGAAATGGGCTTATTGGCCCTGGCCCAAAAGAGAACTCTTTTTCTTTTTTTTTTGAAACAGAGAACTTCTCTTTTGTTTGTTAGATCTCTAGATGAATTCATGAATTTATATGAACTGAAACTGAAAGAGTGAATTAATTTGAAGGGCAAATGTGTCAATTACAGCCTAAAATTTTTACTAAAAAAGTAGAGTGCACAAAAACAGTGGGATGGAAGAAGTATTTCTTGATGAGAAATGTTTGGTGAACACCATTTGGGGTATGCCACATGTACAACAAGCCAAAAATAGGCGCGCACACACTTAATATTTGTGCATGCACAGACATTAAGTATCTCTGTGTGCCTATTTTGGACTTGGTGTACATGTAGTGTACCTCAAGTGGTGTTCCCTTACCACTCCTCTTTTTTTATAAAGACAATAAAAATTACATATTTTGTGAAAAGATCTACAAAAGAATTCAAATTTGTGTCCACTCCTCCATTATGAAATGAATGTTCTACTTTTCATTTTGAAAACATCCCAAAATAAAAAAAAATAATTTCCTTCAAAATAAATTGAAGTTCACACTTCTTCAATTAAATTCACTTTTTTTATTTGTTTCACAATAAACGTTTTACTTCTTTTCTTTCCATAAAAAGCAATGAATGAATCCTTTATATATTATATTTGGGAGTTCAACTTCCAGAATGTTGACATTTGTCATGTTGAGCGGACAAAAAATTTAAGAGGTCAGCTGCCATGTCATATATCCTGAATGTGATGAATGTACTTATGGCGAGAAAATGAACGGATGCCTGATTTGGGGAAAACCCACGCCTTCGACCTTGAGAGAATAGGGTTCGCGATCAATTATACGCGATTTCTGCTAATTTGCATTCTGGAGATTCGCGATCAATGAAATGAACGAAATTACAGTAATCCTTTATATATTATATTTGGGAGTTTAACTCCCAGAATTTTGACATTTGTCATGCTGACGGGGATTTTTTTTGACACATCATAAGCCATGTCATCATATTGGACTTACTCAATATTTCAAACGGGTTAGATAATGATTCATTACTTTGGGCTTCTTTTATTTGTGCTACTCTGTGTGGAATTCATCTGCAAGTCTGAATGAAGCTAGACATCAGCAGCACTTTCCTTCGATTGCACCTCCCTGCGATATTCATCTTCGAATGGCTCCACCGTGAGATTTCAGAGAATATGTTATTGGAATTAATCTCTTTCTTTCTTCAATTCACGGTCCTTCTTCATGGAGATTCCAATGATCGGTACCAAGAATAGGTAACTTTCCCTTTTCTTAAAAAATCATAATTGTTTTTGGGATGATTGACCTTCTTTCCTTCTTATGATGATTAGTCTCTGCGAAATTTGTTCTTCTTTTGAATTTTCTGATTCAAATCTCTGGATTTTCTACCTTATTGCTGTAAGTTTCCTTCTTGCGATTTATATTAGGTCATATATAAATCAAATTTTAAGTAATCCATTTCATCAATCTATTTTTTCATTGTAAGCTGCGTTCATACCTAAAACATCTGATTAATCGACATGTCTTCCAAACCGATCCACCCTTTGCTGAAGATCAATCCATCAAGTGAATGCTGGAGAGTTTTGGTTCGTGTCACTCGACTGTACAAGATGCCAGTGTATAATGATGAGAAGATGACGAATTCTATTGAGATTATATTCATGGACGAACATGTAAGAATTGTACTCTTATTCGTATTTTGCATACAATATAAAATTTATGTTTAATAGGATTTCTAATAATTTTTTAGTGGCTGGAAGGTTATTTTGTTTTTACTTTCAAAACAAAATTATACTAATCTGTATAAAAAACCAAAATTCTTCAATTGCCCATATTGAATAAATAAATGAAGAATGATAAGTCTGCTGTTCTTAAAGTATAATGAGTCTGCTTTCCTTGAAGCTTCTATTTTCAGCACCATAAAAAATAATTTTTTTTATTAAAGTACTGAAGAGTTGAGCCTGTCCTTATTTTCACATTTATAGTCTGCTGTTTTTGAACATATTTTATGGTGTGGAGTTTAGTTTTTAGTCTCTTGAAGTTTCTCCAGATTCAAAGTATTGAAAAAACTAAACACAATATAGTCTGTATTCTAAGTATTAAAAAACAAAACACACTATAGTCTGTTTAGTTTTTTTAGTGCCTATTCATGTTGAAGTTTCTCTAGTGCCTAAAACCATGAGACTAAATTTTTTTAATAGTGCCTAAGAAGGAATTCTTATAATTTATGTAATAATAACTCTGCCGTTCTTAAAGTGTAATAAGTCTGCTGTCCTTGAATCTTCTATTTTCAGCACCATAAACAACATATTTTTTATTAAAGTATTGACGACTTGAGTCTGTCCTTATTTTTCAGACCTTAATTTCAGATTTATAGCCTCCTGTTTTTGAACATATTTTATGGTGTGGAGTTTAATTTTTATAGCCTCCTGTTTAATATTTATGGTGTGAAACATCTTGGAGAATCCTCTTATACACCACAGATGGCCAGCAGTATTGAGGTTGAATTTCCATCTCCCAGGACAGAAAGTTGTCACTTTTAAGGAGCAACAAAAATTGACAGATGTTGCCAGACAAAATCTTTACAAGCCTTTAATGTTTGAGGCTTGGATGATTGCCAATTCAAAGTACAAAGCGGGGGAAAATTTAACGTATGCAGAATTTCTAAGACATTTTGTGTTCAATAACAAGGAGCGAGAATGGCATCCGAGAAAACAAATACCATCAATAGGCTGCTTACAATACATGCCTGTAGGAACCGGAGAGTTATACTACTTGAGAATACTATTAACTATCGCGGGGGTGTACAAGTTATGAAAGCTTGAAGACAGTTAACAATGTTCTGTATAACTCATTCGAGGAGGCATGCGATGCATTGGGGGTACTTGCTGATGATAGGGAATTTATTGAAGGTATAAAAGAAGCTGCTGAGTTAGGTTCTGGGAATCAGCTTAGAAAGTTGTTCGTCACATTATTTGTGACAAATACCATGAGTCGCCCGCAAGTTGTTTGGGAAAAATCATGGGAACGCCTGTTGGATGGAATTTTATTTGATCAAAGGAGACTATTGCGTAATCAAGGTATATCAATAAAGAAATAGTTTTTTAACATAATATTAATCTGTACATAATACATTGTCTTGAAACCTACAATATTTATTCAGAACTTTGTAGAATTAAATAAGTTCCATTATTTCTATTTCTTTTTTCAGAGCTTATAATTTCTCAAGAAGACCTAAAAAATTTAAGTCTGATTGAGATTGAAAAGTTGCTTAATTCAAATGGACGGTCTTTGAGGGAATTTAGTTGTATGCCATTTCCAGATGACATCCACTCAATACATTTCAAAACAATTTATTGGTTGAGGAGTTGAACTATGATAAAGAAAAGTTGTCATCTGATCTTATGGGATACTTATCTACGATGAATGAAGATCAGCGGAAGATATACGATGAAATAATGGAAGTTGTGACTGCTGGAAAAGGAGGATTCTTTTTTGTGTATGGTTGCGGTGGAACTGGAAAAACATTTCTTTGGAAATCATTGACTGCTTCTCTAAGATCAAGTGGTAAAGTTGTCTTGAATGTCGCATCCAGTGGGATTGCAGCATTGCTTTTGCCTAGGGGAAGGACAACACACTCTAGATTTTCAATTCCTTTGGCGCTAACAGAATGTTCAACGTGTGCCATCAAACAAGGGAGCCCAAAAGCAGAACTAATTCAACAGGCAAGTTTAATCATATGGGATGAACCATGTATGATGAATAGATTTGCTTTTGAGGCATTGGATCGCACGATGAGAGATCTAATGAAGTTCTCTAATCCAAACTCAATAAATGAACCATTTGGAGGGAAAACGGTTGTACTCGGAGGTGATATCAGACAAATTCTTCCTGTTTTACCCAGAGCTTCGAGAGAGGAAATTGTAGCTGCTACCATTAATTCTTCAAATTTGTGGTCTTATTGTAAAGTTTTTAAGTTGACGAAAAATATGAGATTGTATTCATCAACGTCCTCTTGCGTAGATAGAGACACGCAAGATTTTTCTGATTGGATAATGAGATTGTGATTGATGGAACTGCTGACGCTGAAATTCCTCTCGAATTTTTGACTATAGATAACAGCTCACCCCTCAAAAGTATAGTGGACTTTACTTATCCAAACTTATTGGAGAATATGAGAAGTTATTCTTTTTTTGAAGACATGGCACTACTAGCACCCACGCTCGAAGTTGTAGAAATGGTAAATGAATTTGTCTTATCCCTCATTCCCAGAGATGAAATGGTGTACTTGAGTTCTGATTCATCATGCCAAGCAGATTCAAATGTAGGTGTTGATGGCGACTGGATAACAGTTGAGTTCTTGAATGAAATCAAATGTTCGGGAATCCCAAACCACATGATAGTTTTAAAAAAAGGGGTACCAATTATGTTACTGAGGATCATTGACCAAATATCTGGATTGTGTAATGTTACAAGATTAATTGTTGACGAGATGCGAAAGAATGTTATTGGTGCTATTGTGGTTTCGGGAAATCGAGTGGGCGAAAAAGTTTACATACCCCGGATGAATTTGGTACCGTCTGATCCAGGACTACCTCTAAAGTTCCAGAGAAGACAATTTCCAATAGCCTTATGTTTTGCTATGACTATTAACAAAAGTCAAGGTCAAACATTGTCATTTGTTGGATTATTTTTAACCAAGTCAGTGTTCACTCATGGTCAGCTTTATGTTGCTGTTTCGCGAGTGGTGACAAAGACAAGATTAAAAATATTAGTCTTAGATGACAATGGAAATCCTTGCAGCCATACAAAAAATGTTGTATACCCTGAAATCTTTCAAAAAATTTGGTATTAAAGCAAACTTTGTTGTTTGTAGATTCAATTCCTCAAATATTATTCTTTTTACTTTGCCTTTCTTTTCTGTGTTATTATAAATCATGCATGAGGAAAAAATATTGCATTGAATAAATTCAGAATCGACAAGATATTCGTCCGAACCCGTGCATTGCACGGGTAGGAATACTAGTGACAATAATATTTCTCACTCTAAACAAATTTTATGCAAACACTTTTCAAATCTCAATTTTTTCACAAATCTTGTAAAATCAAAATAAGACTTTTATTTATATTTCTTTTGATCTCTGCATAACTTTTGTTCGATTGCCCAATTTGTACGAGTCTATTGCTGCTTGGTGGCCATGGGTTTAAGCTGATGATTAAGATTGCAAGTCTACAACCTAGAAAAAAATAGAACAAACAACTCTGTTTAGAGTCCAATACTTTTAAAGATTCACTATTCTCACTGTCTAGAGCTCTTAAATTTAATTTTTTGAATATATAAATATAAACAGAACAATGAGACAATTCCACACATTCACCAAATCAATCTTTGATCAAAGTTGCTTGGAGGCATCAACCATGTCATTCCTTTTCAACATAAACACCAAGATATATATATCATTAAAAAGAAAAAGGTTTAAATCCATACACATTTCCAAACGGTGGCGTACTGTTGAAACCCGGAATGCCCCAAAATGCATATTACAGTATGCATAAATTTATGTGCGACAAATTATTTCTTAGAGTAGGTTCTATGATCAGGTCCAATATCACGCGAGCCAGTATTGATATAAGGCCCGCGGAAAGTTGCTTGTGGAGGTAGCGCTTTCGATGCATCAATCACCGGTGTTGAACTTGATGATCTTGACCTGAATTTATAGATCGATCATTTGCATCAATTCTAAGAGAAACGGTAAGAAAATTATTTGGTAATATTCACAAGAATTGAAAACGGGTATGACTCACGCCATGTAAAATGGGAATGCTAAGCCAGCAGCAGCAAAGGCTACTAACCCAACAGCAACAATGGCATTGCGGTTACTACGAGACATTATGCAAGTCAAAGCAGTTTTTATCTGAACAGCAAACAGAAGAAATGAAGGGAACAAAGTGATGAACACATAATGGAAAATTATTAAGAAAAGAATTACCAATGAACAACCATATCAACCAAAGTAGTAGGAACAACATAGACAGTATTCTACTTTTAGTTAAAACAAAAAGGCCCTCACAAACCGGGCGATTTCAATGACCACTTCTTTCAGAATCCCTAATAGAATCATGTCATATAAACATAATAAATGGCAGGGGGGGAGTCTGAAATTATAGTGGCATTGACAAACTTTTCTAAAACTTCCATCTTAATTGTAAAGGTGAAAACCTTCAGAGCAGGACAATATACAGTATAAAGTATCATTCCTTGTCCTTGTTGCCTCGAATACTTGTAACAACCTATAGCGGTTTTAATCTTCGCTTGAGATTCGTTAAGTTCATAAGGCAAAGGAAATTGAAATGTAATTCCGGACTAGATGCAACTCGGCTTTCTCCAAAATAATTGTGATTGTTTAGACAGTCTAGGCTAGAACTAGAAGAGTTGTCTAAGCTAGGTTTTTTATGTATCGTTTCGGGCATCAAACAATACATAATGGTTTCTGAGGATGCAAATTGGGATTGGAATAAGAATGATTACTTTATTAACAAAGGGTATACTTACAAGAATGACAAGATGGTGTAGAATCAAGGGTTAATCTCAAAAAGGAACAATAAAATGTAGTTATAACTCATTTTATCAATGGAAAAGATGAAAGAGCTGTGCTTTGACATCATCTGTGTAATTTCCAGGAAATAATCAAATTTCCAATGACTAGCGGTGTGTTTTTATGATTTATCTAATCAATTTATGATATTTTATGAAACCCGTGATTCTCATTAATGCTAAAACATAGAATTTGTATTGTGTTGAATCTTGGATAACACTGTGAAGCATGGAGAAGCCATACCTGAGGAGAAATCGCGTGGAGGACACGACTATGACACACCCCGGTGGGAGACGGCGGAGATAAGCTCGACTCCGGTGGTGTTATGGTGGAGGTGAATTCGACGATGATGAGCTAATTGCAGCGAGTAGGTGGGCTTTTTATCTGCAGGAGGGCGGAGAAGAATGTAAGAATGTAAGATGGGCTATTTAATCAGATTTTCACTATTCTTATGAAATCAGATCACATCGTATTAATTCACATCAATTCAGATCAAGTTAAATTCATTAAAAAATTTAAAATCACATCAAATTCATTTAGATAACATCAGATTCATTTAGATTAGATTTATTTGGATAAAAGATTATTTAAAAATAAAAAAAATTTAAAATAATAATAACAAAAATTACAACAACAATATTGATTAAGATAATAATAATAATCACTATTATTATTAAATAATAATAACAGTTACAATAAAAAATTATAATAGTAATTAATATTATTATCATTGTTAATTAATAATTAAAATAATAATTAATAATAATAATAATTTATTATCATTATAATTAATAATAACAGTAATAGTAATTAATAATAATAATAATGATTCAAATGATAATAACCATTATTGTTATAAACATTAACTAATAATAATTAATAATAATGATAATAACTATTAATAATAAAATATTATTTTTAAATGTAATAATAAAAATAATTATTGATAATTAATAATAATAGACTTTAACAATAATTATTATTTTAACTTTAATTATAATTAATAATGATAATAATCATCATTAATAATAATAGACTTTAACAATAATTATTGTTTTAATCATGCTTGTTATATGGATTTGTTATTTTTTACTCCCTACGCCCCAGATTATTTGTCCACTTTCATTTTTACACACCATCCAATGCACTTCTTTAATCCATTTTATCTTGTAATTTGTATATTAAAAAATTATAGAAATTATATATTAATAATCTATATGTTAAAACAAATCAAACAAGATCACACATGACTATATTTAGGCTTACACATTGAGAAAATTTGATGAGTCAAAGTGCTTAGATGAATAGTTCCAAAAGTCAAAAGTGGACAAAAATTGGGGGACGGAGGAAGTACATTATAGCAAGTGAATAGTGATATAACAAGCAATTTTTTGTTTCATTTTCCAACCATAATTAGTTATTTTATTTTTTAAAGTATTGGCTTGCTAGAGTTTGAGGGGCTTGTTATATTTAGCAACCTAAAACCATTTTTGGACAAACTTGCTAAAATAAAACATGTCCCATGGAGAAGAACAAAAGGGTTTAGCTAGCTATATTATAACTTTTAGCAAGCTAAAATGTTATGGTTGGAGATGCTCTAACAAGTAACAAAAGTAACAAAGATCACGGAATCAAAAGTACGAAGAAAAGTGATGATAAACTATATTAGTAACAAGTAACAACAAAACCAGTTATAATATACAATGCTTCAAGATCGCAGATTGTTCACAAGAGAGATGACATCAAGGCACTTTGTAGAAGTTATAGGGGACATTGTCAGGAAATCAATTTAACAAAAAGTTCAAACTTATAGTTATAACTTATAAACCTCTGAAATGTGGATCAAATTGCTTGACAGGTTACCAACAATGAAGGGAGAAATGGTGGTTTTAATCTATTGAAAGTTTTAGTTGAAATTGCATGTTTAAACCTAGCTGGCTTAGGGCTTTAATTGAACCAGAACTTTTTACCTGAAGTGTGATCTTAATGAAAGATGTTTTTCCTTTAAATAAAAAACAATGGCAGGATCATTCCCCATTAAAAGTTGAAACCACAAGGAAGCCGCCAAAGCACAACCACAAACCCAAGTGATGCACAATCCTAATTGAAAGTAGAAACTATCAAAATGCCGGATTCAAATGGAAAATGGATATTTCCCCAGTATTACCCTTAAAATAGAACAACCCTTTCACATAAAATATCACAGAACCTTCACCATACAGAGAAGAAATAATGTCTACCCAGGGAGAAGACAGGCTCTCAAACAGTAAAGAAATTGCCCATTCTAATGTTTTTACTTAGGAAGAATACAAAATGTAAGCATCAGATTGTGTCACTTGGGAACCACCGGGTTTACTGAGCTTGTCCGTTTGCCAGCTGCTGCGGAGCACTCAGTGGTCTCTTGAAAAGCATGATGTGCGGCTCTGGTCGGTGAATGGCGTAGTGGATCCATCCACGGCTCTGCTGAACTCCCATTGCCCTCCACTCAGTCTGTCCAACAAACCAGTCAAACATTTATAAACTTCTTTTCCACACAGAAAAAACAAATACGGCATTAAAAACTTACTGCAATGAAAGAAGGCTTGAATGCGTAGAATCATATAGAATGTGACAGAAAAGACAGTGTTTTGATCCTACTGTGAATTCAATTAAATATGGAGTAGAAAATGTTTACTCCCTCCGCCACAAGCAGAGCCACTTTAAGACCCAAGGGTACCAAACAACAACAACAACAACAACACAGTGGAGTCTGACAAATGGAGTTTAGAGATGGTGAGATGGTGGGCTATTCTCAAAAGAGCCCAGAGATGATTGACCAATATGTTTGCTGGAACTTAAGGTGACTCCATCATTGACAAAAGCAGCATTTCATTTAATAATAGAGGACACATCAAGGAAACTTTACGAGAATAAGATTAAACTAAGAGTAAAACATAGAAAATGTATCAAAATAGGAGTTACAACGCACATACAATTCCAATCATGTCAATACATAACACCAAAATGTATTCTTGAATGTCTATATGCAATGCCACATTATCACAATGCAACTCTTATTTTGGATAAAAACATGAAACTCCTATTCTGATACTTTCTCTATGTCTGACTCTTATTTAGGGTGTTTTCTTAAACTCTATTTCTTTGAAATCAAATAACAACACCATTTGCCCCAAAACAACGCATATGAAAATGAAAAATTTTATGTTGGTTCTTTGGGGTGAAAAAAAAGAACTGCTCCGTAATGATAGGATGTTTTGGAACAACAAGAAATGGGAAGTGAGAATCATTACTCCACGGCATAATTCCATATTTCAAACTGATATTGAAACACAAAGAAATTCTTCAACTACACATCAAAACCCGAGAAGAGAAACTTACCTCGGAAAGAAGCCTATTCTTAGGAAGCAATTTCGCCACTTCTGGTGGGAGAATCACATGCCTGAATTTAAAAATTTAAAACGAAAAACGAAAACGAAAACGAAATCAAGAAACATATCATAGACAACAATTTTTCCCATTTCAAAACATCAGAGGAAAGGGTAAAATTCAATACCTATACTCGTGAGTGTCATCCGTGTACTTATCGGAATACTGGATCTGGCCCATTCTAACCCCTGATTACCGGAATACCGGATCGGAACGACTGATGAGCGCTTGTTCCTGATCTGTCTGAACTCTGAAGATAAGAAATGAAACCCTAATTTAAAATTGAAAAATTAGAAATAAGAGACACTCCGTACATGAAGAGGTTTGGAGCGGGAGAAGGGGGAGATTAGTCCCTATATACTATATGGACCAAAATTCGAATTGTTGGATTAGGGTTTGATTTTGACAATTAACGGCAAAAATGATGGTCTAATCACGGAATTTAAATTACTCTCCTGCTAACGGCATTATAATATAGGGAAAAAGATTTAATTCTCTTTTTTTTGAAATTTGAACTTTCAAAATCCCAATACTTCTCGTCGGAGGGGTTCCCATGTCATGGGATGAACTGAGACCGCTACGGTATCCCATTTATAAAATTGACGGTATCGCGTTTTCAATTAATATTACATGGGATTTCAATGTCATAATAACTTCTCCCTATTCTGGTTTAGATTAAGCAAGTGGGTAGTTTATATAGTTGAGGTTCTTGGGAGAATGCTAGAGCCACAAATAAATAGTTCATAAACTTCACAAATTTGTCTTTTGTAAATTTTAAATTAAAATATCTTTTATTGTTGGAGTGCATCTTATTTCTAAGAAAATGTTAAAGGCAAGTTTGTAAATTTTGTGAGCTATTTATTTCTGACTCTAGCATTACACGAGGTTCTTTTGACAATTTTTACTGTCCTAATATGACAATAGCATCTATGGTGCTCGGTGCTCTACTAGAAAAATACATACTTTCAATATATTTTTGGAAAAATTCTCTACAATAATTCTCAATTTTACTCAATTTTTTAAAAATAATTCTGCCCTTCAATAGAGTTCTAAAATGAACGAATAATTTTCATTTGATTCTTGATTTGTATTCAAAATCAATGATTTGTATTTGAAAAAATGAATACGGATTAGAATATAAATATTTATTAGAACTCGAAAGAAAACGAATACAAATACGAATACAAATGTATATGTATTCGATTTGATATGTTGATGAATATATTTGAATTTAAATATAAAAAATTATATCTAATATATTTGCTTCATAATACAGAGAACTCATAGGGGCAAGATTTACCTACACACATCCTCTCTAGACTCTACTATCGTGGAATCTAAAATGCATTTATAGTGCCAAAAGTATTGTGAATTGTTTATATGCAATGCTACATTACCACAGTACGAACTCCTATTTTAGAGATAAAATATGAAATTCATATTTTGGTACCTTCTCTATATTTTACTCATATTTAGGGTAATTTTTTACTAATTTTAGAAGTTATAAACCGTAAAAAAATGGTACTTGGTCCGTCCCTGAGTGTTTGTCCACTTTTGACTTTTGGAACTGTTCATCTAAGCACTTTGACTCATCAAATTCTCTCAATGTGTAAGCCAAAAAATAGTCATGTGTGATCTTGTTTGATTCGTCTTAACATATAGATTATTAATATATAATTTTTATAATTTCTTAAAATACAAATTACAAGATAAAATTGATTAAAGAAGTGCATTGGATGGTATGCAAAAATGAAAGTGGACAAACACTCAGGGACGGAGGGAGTATTTCATAAAAGAATATGAAACCGAACCGAATATTTGAATTTAATATCAAATTGAATACAAATAGTATAATAATTATTTGAATAAAACACAAATATGAATATGAATAATGGTATCATTTTTCAAATATAAATAAAATGTTATGATTCGATTCGTTCGTTTTACAACCCTATCCTTCACCGTGACGCATAACAGTTCTAATTTTACTGAAAATTGTAAGTATCAGGTTGCCATTAAGCTACTAGCCGTTGGTTAACGGAAATAGCATGTTTTGCGTAACAAATGAAAGTTAGAAATATTTTTTATGAATTTTTGTTTTTTAAAAATTTTTCCTTATATTTTTAAAATGACTTTCTACCTCTATCAATTCTTTTTCTTTTTTTAAGATTAATTTTACCTTAGAAAAATACAAAATAGATACAAAAAGTAAGAAAATGAAAAATCAACTAAAATCATACAAAATTAATGAAATAAAAAGATCATCAATCAAAAACAAACTTCAAACTAATATTATTTCCTTTCCTGAATATTTGTCCAGTTTTGACTTTTTCAATCAACCGTTTTCAACCTTTGACCTTTAGTTAAATGAAATAGATATTATAGTATAAATTAGATAGAACAATATTTTGAAAATATTTGATATAAAAAATCTAATAAAACTATATTGGTATCAATATCTAATATTATTTTTATTTAATTTGAGGTCAAAATCTACCAAGTCTGACCAAAAACAGTCAAAAGTAAATAAATACTCAAGAACGAACAAAGTAAAAAATAAAACTGAGAAAATACAGAGTGGTGGGTTTTAATGTTTTAGATATTATACGGAGTATTATTGTAAATTGTTTTTATATGAAAAATGATGTAGAATTGAAAAATAGAAATCACATATTTAAAACTACATTAAAAGATCTATAAAACTAATTGTCACATAACTATATTATTTTATCAAATAACTAAAAAAAATTAAAGAAAGAAAATAAAGAAAATTTCACTTTGTAAATTATAAACATACAATTTAATTTAAAACGGGGGAGTAGTTTTTATCTCACAAAATAAATATACTAGCACAAGAATCAATAAGAAATGCCTCAAAATCACAATGGCAAAATATCATCCCATTAATTCACACACCCATTTGCTCCATACTTCTCATCTTCTTCAACAGTTACTACAACTTGCAGCATATATTTATATATATTCCAAAGAGGGCCAAATTCCCCATTCATATGTACTGATAGAGATGATCACTGCAATGCTATTCTACCGCGGGTTATATACACAAAATAAAAACCCACCAACTGTACACATTTTCATTCAACACCTCAAAATTGATTTACAATGAAAAAAAACAAAAAGTTGACCCCCCCCTCCCCAAAGCTGATGTGATCCTTTTCACGATTCAGATATTCGCTTCTGCAGCATTGACGTTCCGTGAAAAACCATCACTTGGTAGTTATCTTTGTAGTGCTTCAACTGAAAAGTATAACGACACAATGGCATGTTTGATTAGTATATTTTTAAAAACAATAATAATGTTACTCCCTTCGCCCCATTAGAAGAGTCCCATTTACAAAGGTTCGAATTCTGAATATTTGTTGAAAAAAACATTGGAAATAATCAAACATAAATGTATTCGTGGACTTCTTTGTTGGTTTAGACAAATTGAGCACATTAAACTTGTTTGAGACATGTCTTTATGAAATAATACTCAGTAGTAAATATCAAATATTTGCTTTTGTTCAAATTACTCTTTTTTTTAGAACAAAAGAAGTTTGCGAACAGTGTTTTTAAGGGCTATTATGCAAGGGTTACCTCTTCAGGATTGATCTTTTGGAACCCAAACTTCTTAGTCCAAATAGATTCAGCTTCCTCTGCTGCAGGAAGGACCAGGGATTTCACCCCCAAAGATCTTAGAAGAGATTCAATGCAAGCAAACAATGACTGGAAGTACCCCTGCAGAAAAAAAAATCCATCATTTGAACATGTGCAACTTGAGGTTATAAGGCTATTTTTGAAAAAATGAGCAGATGTGCTAGCTGATAAATTAGCTGATAAGCTAGTTTAAACATATGTAAGGACATAGACAGGTATGTTTAAAATAGTTTTATAATAAATATGAGCTTAGTGATGAAAAAAAGCCACTCATGAAGCTTCTTTATAAAGCTCAAGCTTGTAAAGTATTTATTTCAACTTTCAACCAGACAAAACTTTAAAAAAAAACTTTTTTAAAAGAATCTAATGACATACCACTTATGCCAATCATTGCTAAGTAATCAAGCATGGGTACGATTTCTTTTACTGCATATGTTTTGTGCAAAGAACTTGACGTTAACCTTACCTTTCCTTGGCAATCAAGACTTGTTGCAACCAGAGGGAGTTCTGCTAATTCCTTTCCAAATATCCGGATAACACCAGCAGATACAACCGAAGAGCTACAAAAAATAGAAATTACAATGAAGTCCTCTACAAAATGAATACGGTAATGGTTTCTGAGTTTCTTGTGTTTAAATAAAACCCTTACTTCACCAATAACATTGCACATAACATCCCACTAAAATCTTGATCCTTGAAATTCCTCCTGACAACCAGAAAAAATTTAAAAAAATGTTACTCTGTAATTCAAGGTGGAGTAAATGCTGTAATGTAAAAACCCAGACACAGATGCCAATACTTACCCATAGACCATGGTTGGTATCAAATCAAGGCGGCTTGTACTGGAATCGGCAATGGGGTCAAAGCAGTCCTGAATCATATGATCGGATATAGATTCAGACTTTGATTGCAACATATCCCAATGGGACTAGTATAATAGCATAATATATATCGTAATCTTTAACTACAGAAAATTTTGTGTTACAGTCCCCTTTAGAATCATTGTAAAATGAACCTTCTTAACTCTATTCAAACTGACCAAACTCCCCATCCCAAAAAAATGATAGTTTGAATGGATCGAGGATGGGATTAAAGAAACAATTTCAAACCAACACAAATGTTATGCATAAAAAGAAGGAACTTGAAGGCACACTCACATGGAAAATGGAGACAGCACCAGAAAGCCACACTCTTGTTTCCTCAGATGACAATTTTCCACTCAAAAGTCTCCACTTTACATCATGAACAGAATTTTCCTCCAAAGTTTTTCCTTGATTCTTCTCCTTTATGATTTGCAATAGAGAGTCAGGAAGGCTTAGTTCTCCTTCTGACAAGAGTTTCTGCAGAGCAAAGTGAATATTACTGCACTCTTTGCTGCAAAACCATTTCTCCTTCGGTAGTTCCTGCAGCAAATGCATCATCAAATTTCCTGTGTTAACTACTTTATGGGAAATGATAAAAAAATGAATGAGATCAATAAATTACCGAAGGACTTTAAACAAAGAGAGTTACTCCATCCGTCCCGAATTAATCGTCTCATTTTCCTTTTTCGTCCGTCCCAAAATAAATGTCTCACTTAATTTATTCGGGGCGGAGGGAGTATTTAAAAGTTAGAACAAGAGTAACCTTAAGAACGTCCATATTGTGCTCTTCAAGACACTTGACATGATATTCCCTCTCACACTATAAAAAGAAAGAAAACATGTCATGCCTAAAGTAACTGATGAGCCCTAAAGGATTTAGAAATCCAATGTCATAATAAGTAAAATAAAAACCATATGTACCTGGTCACATATAATTACTGTCTGGGGACCGAAACCTTTAGTACTAAAATCATGACTCCTGCAAGCAGTTTACTCTAGAATGAGTAATAGATGGAATTTGGAGAGAAAATTTTCTAAAAAAAGATTAAAAAATTTAAATTTTATAGATGGAGTTTGAAAGAACATGTAATAGCCGTACAAAATCGGACTGCAAATCCTATACATTTAGTAGTCTCCCAAATATCAAGTGACTGTTTCAAAAACATATCCCTCCATCCCAATTTTAACAAAAATGAGTGAAATTGTGTGGTTGAGAATTGAGGTTTATGTAGACAAGAGAAATAATGTGTACCTTTCCATGCTTTCCTTAAAAGAAATGGAAAAATTTATTTGGGACGACCCAAAAAGAAAACGAGAAGTTTATTTTGGGAAGGAGAGAGTATATAGTTTATACAACATGATAAGACTATCGGCAAAATCTTTCATCATGATCAAATGACTCAAAACAAGGAACTGCTAACTCCACTACTCCTCAAAGATCATTTTAAAAAGTAGAAAATAGTTAAACTCATTGAAATTTTCTTTAGGCACCAAAACATAAACTACTATCATTGTAATGTAAATATCAAACAAGATCAAAGGAAAACCTGCAAAGTACACAAACGCCAACTTCTGCATGTAAAGAATCAACAATTCGAATGCAGCGCTTGGTTATTTGTTCTAATGCATCGATTCCAGCAACCCTTCCAGCAGCAATGGCATTTACATTCTTTTCCACGAACCTTTCTTTGGCAAACATATTCTCACAGTATTTACAAAACCAGGTACCGGTGGGTATTCTTGGCAGGGAAACACATACTGAGTAGAAGAAGAAAACAGACATATCATCACATAAATAACATCATCTCATGAAAATAACGAGAAAAAAAAATGTGTACATTGTGTAGAGAGATATCATAGACACCAACATAGAACATGCACAAACACAAACACTTTGTCTCAGATCACTACTTGATCATCAATTTAGATGTATTTTACTTGATTGAAAGTATGATATAGTTTGAACCAGTACCATACTTTTACTAAATTTGCACAAAACAATTAGCTAGATTAGAATATTATGCACGATTACTATTAAAAAAATCCATTTTTATTTGAAAATAGGAAACAATATCAAACTCTCACAATTATGAATGTCTACTCTACAATTATTTTCAAGATCAATAGGTCAAAAATATACCCCATTAAAAGGACTAGCACATGTAAACACCAAATATTAATAAACCATTAAAGGGAAGCATGACAAATGCAGTGACTAAATTTGTCTTATTGTAATGAGACCTGCATGGAAAGCTCTTGGGCAATTATCGCAGCACAAAAGGTCACCTCCATCAGCACACATGGAGCATAGATCATCATTTTCATCAGATGATGCTCTACGCTCTAACGAAAGTTTGATAGACAACTCATGCAAGGACACCCCATTGGAAGTATAGATGTTCAAGTAACTGGCAAGAAAAATGCACTGAGTTAAAGGAAGGTGAATGGAACATGTATTTTACAAAGATATCCTCCCAGTTGATAAAATTTTCTTCCATGCATTCTTTGAAACCAAAGATGATAAACACCTAAAAACAGGAACTTTCTAAAGGCTGGTTCCTTTAAAGAACAAATGAGATTACATGCTAAAAAACATCTCTAACAAATTATGCCAAGTCAAACACAATAAACAAAACAATGGAAACCAAATAGCTCAATAAGCAGTTGTTGATTTGGCAATGCCAGAGTTCCACCTAACACAACATAAGGGGTGGATCCGCACAAGAAGCAATCTAGTGTGGGTATCCATTGTTTTTCAGGGTGTTATAATAGGACATATTGCTTATATTTAAGTTAGCATTGGGGGCCTAGTGATTATTAACTATCATGTACTCATGTGCTAATCGATTATGATAAATAACAAAACAATGCATTGAGTACTTATGGACAATTGATTGTATATCTTATTTTCACTCATTTCATTGAGAACATTTTTAAACATATAAATCATCTGTCTCAAAAATTCAAGACCACTTACGGTTTGCGACGTGATGCACATCCTGCATGAGCCTCAAATTGTGAAGGGCTTACCTGCAAAAGGAAGTTATAGGTTAAAGAGTGAATATTATTATAATTCTATTTAATGTAATATTGGTAAAATAATACGGAGTAAAAGATGATGAACTAAAGTACCTCCTTATGACAGCAATAACAAAATATAGCCGAACCTTTCTTATATCCGTCAAGCAGTTTCTGTGTATAGATAATTTTAAAAGTAAGTTTCCTTACATCCACACAAAACAATGTCCAGAAGCATCAACATAAGATAGCAGGGAATCAGTTTTAAAAACACATCATTAATTTATTAAATAGTTGTTAATCACTGAAGTGGCAGCTGTATTAACCTCTCCTCGGACATAATAAGCCAATGCAGTTCCATCTGGCAACACATCTCCCTCAAATACCAGTTTATGCATTCGGAGATCTCTGTTAAAATAAATACATAGGTAAAAAAATGGAAACCAATACAAGTTAGTCAGTGTGAGAAAGATTAACAAAAAATTTCATACTGATGTAGATGAACTTATTCATGGTTTCTTCAAAAAAAATAAAGATAAAAAAGTAGAACACTCACTTTCTGGTTAATCTTCCATGAACCTTTGTAGGGGGGCAAGCCCCTGATGACAATCTATCTGTGGACTTCATAACATGATTTGATGAAGGGGACCTACATGAAATGGGTGAAGAAGGTCATATGGTTAGAAATGTATAATGTTCACAAAAGAGAGAACACATCATGTCAAACCTGCAGATATGATTTAATCCCAATATAGTCATTCCGCATGTAAAGTGATTTAGTTTTCTCCATTGAATTCCATTTAACATTATATCTTACCTGAGCCCTAGAGTAAATGAACCTTTATCAGTATCTCTAACCAAAGTAAATTCCTACTAACCTATATCCGATTGAACTAATGTAATCATAATATCAGATATTTAAAACAAAAAAAAACTATATACGGCCAAATATCACCTCTTTAATCATTGATCTATTTTTGTTGTGTCCATGCGAATGGCTATATAATGTTTCAGATATCAATATTCCTTATTACCTATCTACTGGCAACTAAAAGACAAAATGCTTTAACAACTTGATTCTCCACCACCTTGAAATGCATTCAAAAGAAACAAACTCTTGTTTCTAGAATATTACCATCTTTCTCTTTTTAAAACAGACAACCCTATGATACACAATATCAACCCCCTAGGAATACTGTTAAGGAAACATGAACTACAAACTGAACTTTAACATCTCAGCGAATGTTTACACACAAAATTAAGCATACAACTGCAAAGTAGCAAAGAACACGAATCATGCAAATTACTCCATAGCAATTAAAATTGAGGGATACTACTGATTCAAATAAAAATGTATATATACAGCAACAGCAGCACGTTAAAATTTCACAAGTGGGCTCTGGGGATCGGTTGTACGCAACTTTATTATATGAAGATTATGGCTTATGGAACGCTGCAACAGACAAAAGATAAGTACCTGCTACTAGCATCATTGGCTTGAACATGAGTAGATTGAGACTTTTGCAAAGACAGGCATGCATCACAATGAAGCCTCGGGCTACCAAGAGAAGCCTCGGGCAAAGAAGCTTGAGTATATTGAAAATACCAAATTGCCAGAGACTCAGATGACCACGAAAAATAGACAGGTAAATAAAAAAAGAAAATTATAGGGAAAATTGAAAAGAAAAAAAGCACCTTTGCAATTAAGACAAAAAATAGATCTTTTGGCATCTCCAACACCAGACACATTTCGAATTGCAACTTCGAGTCCATCAACAGAAGCTTCCTTGCATGCAACTAGTACATCTCGAAGTGTTTTACCATTCTCCAAAAAAATATATTCTGGTGGACGTTTATTTGAACTGCCTGCATGGACTTCAAATTGGTTTGGTGAAACAACCTACAGATATAACAAAATAGTAAGTCAGGATACAACCATGTACATATCACGGTACTGCAGAGTAAAAGATAAGCTTACTTTAGTTCCACTACACTTCCGACAAAAGCACAATATTCCAGAGCCTCTAATAACTCCTTGAAGCCCTACAGCAGGCCGACCTCTAGCCTGAATTGTAATCACAGCATGAAAACATGTAAACTTAAGAACTCAACAAAATTCCCATCTCAACAAGACATTGAAACCGTGATCAGTAAATTCCACCTTTACAACGCTTAGATAGCGCACAGGTAATCCTTCAAGCAAACCAGTGTCAAGAAGGTCTCTCAACCTTGTCGGAATCTTTTCCAGAGAAACCTTCTTTGACATTTTCATTTCAAGCTTTGATGTTGAAACAGTGGCCCTTGACCCATCACCTTCCATAGCATCTTCTGTTTTTGTAACTTCAGCTGCCCCCTGCTCGTTTGGCTTCAAAGCTGAGCGGGTAAACCGCCTCAATGGCTTCTCAGAGAATGTACCCTCCATGCGCTTCTCAGCACTCTTAGGAGCAAAATCTAATGAACTGCCATAAGCACATTTTGCTTCAATCTCCGGCTTGCAAACCCCTGATATAGGAAAATCATCCATTGTTGGTTTCACTAAGCCATCATGCTGCTCCTCATTGCCAGACTCATCAACATTCATGATTTCCACAGTAACATTTCCATGCACCACCTTTTCTCTGGAAAGTTCAACAGTACAGTTCACTAAACTGCCACTTTGTTCCTCATTGCTAGATCTAACAGCATTTCCACTTATGGCATTTTCCATCTGAAATGTACCTTCACAATCTAACATACTGATGTGCTCTTCCTTGTTGCCAGAGTTATAAACATGCATTGCTTTCTCATCAACATCTCCAGCTAGTGCATTTTCCATAGGAAATACACCCTCACATTCTGCCACATCAGTATCACATCTCCCATTGCCAGATTTAGTAGCATGCACTCTATTTTCATCAACATTTCCATTTATGACCCCTTGTTTTGGAAATTTGCCTTCCCCTTCACAACCTACCATACCAATGTTCTCTCCCTCATCGCCAGGATTATCAACCTGCAATGTTTTCACAGTTTCATCTCCATCTATAAGCCTTTCTTTCTGATATCCACCAGGACTATTCAACTCCTCTCTTTCCACAGAACACACTGTCTCCTGCTCTCCAGTTTTGCAGTTGGCAGAAGTTCCCTTCTCCTCATCATCACTAACACCATCAACAACATCACTCTTCATCTCTTCCCATTCACTCGTTAAAGGTAGCTTCTCTACTTTTTTGATCCCATTATCGCTTGCCACCTCCTCAATCTTGTCTACTTTCTCATTAAGCTGCAGCAAGCTGGGCTCAGCCGCAACAACATTCACTTCCTTCTTCTGCTTTTTCGTGGTAGAACTCTTTGTCCTACTACCATATTGGGGACTTACCAAAGCTCTACCACTCGAGGCCATATTCTGAGACCGAGTGACCCTCCTCTGACCCATAGAGATGCCACATTTGGCTTGAGCCTTCATCATCATTGCAAACTCTCGCTTCATTCCAGCCCGGATAGACGAAATCACAACCTCGCCTGCCTCCCTTGGGTTTTCCATTCCCCAAGGCAAGAAAATTTATTCTGCAAACCTCTTAAACAGATCGAGGGTAACCTTGAAAAGACAATAGATCGAATGTCAAGGCACAAGAACACCGAAAAATCAAAACCCAACCAAAAATGAATCGGCCAAAATCATTATATATCCCAAAGATTAGACAATCTTCTGCGTCGGAGTTCCAAATCAAATCCAAACAACGCCGCCCCACTCGTACGAAGCCCTAAATCTTGACGATAATTGGGGGATAAAGATTAGGGTTTGCCTTCGAAAGAAACAATGGAGATGACGAATAGCGAAATAGGAATACAGGTGAGAGACGGAAGCCCGCGACGTTCCTAGAAGGGCCCTATGTCTCCTCCAGGAGGGATGAAGAGAACACTTCGTAAATTGCATTTTAGTCCTCTCCAGTCCCAAAATTGGAAGGTTGTCCTTTGAGTAGTGGGCCACATAGATGGGCAAGTGAATAGATCGCGTCCGGGCCGCACCTATTAAGAACCACTCCATATTTGTCTACCCATAAAACCGGACTGGACCGAAACCGATATCTTCTATTTGCAAGGATCAAAGACTTGTTTGATATTGGTCCGGACCGGTTTAGATTTGAATTTTTTTGGTCCGGACTGAGTTGACCCTATTTTGGACTTGATTTTAAACATAAAGGGCCTAATATTGTTGCCAAATATTAATTTTAGTGAGTATTATTATCAAAAAAGAAAGAGCATCGAAGATAACTCAAAAAACCAACGAAGAGAATTGAAAAAACGCAGCGAACATAACTGGAAAAAAAGTTCCGAAGAGAACTTGGCGGTGGGCGGTGGCTTTCATCAAACAAATTATCATAAAAAAAATTTGCGATTTGCCTAAAATTGAATACTTCAAAATCATTAAAGTAAAAATTGAAATTAAGTAACATATCATCCTAAAAGCCTAAGAGAATTTGAAAAAAAAGTTAAATTCCAAAATATTAATATTAATATATTAAAATATACCGGTCCAGACCAGATAATTCCGGATTTAAACCAGAGCAGACCAAAATCTAGAATTCCAAAATTGTTAAGATCGGAGACCGGACCTGAATCATTCGGACCGGTTCGTTCCGGTCCGATTCAAGTCTAAATTCCGGTCTGGACCTGTTAATACACAGCCCTATCCATGAGGGTGGATGGTGTATAAACAAATATGATGTAGAGTAATAAAAATATGTTTATTATAGTGGATGTGAATGAAAGTTAAGATGTGTAAATGTGTGTTAAATTTTAATTGATTGATATATATAAATAACAAAATTAGAAAAGAAGAATGGCAACAGAATGATGCCATCACTTGAAATGGGGCGACGCCCCTTCACACTTGAAGTGAATTAAAGAGGGGCGTGATAGAGGGTGATCAAGCTCCTCCTCACCCCGCATAACACAAGGCCTTAAGTCTTGATGCTATATTTTAGTTTCAGGTTTATTGGGCCTCGATTTCAAATCGGATATATTTGTGATAAGACTTGATTTTTTTGTATCCAGATAATTGATTGAAAATTGACGCTAAATAGTGCATAAGAAAAATATTGTGATTGAAAAAAATTGAATTGTAAAAAATCTAAAGGGTTTAACCAATTAATTTGATAAAAAAAATACTTGAGGAACTCCAATTAGTGTACATCAAGGCAAAAACAAATATATACAGACACTCAAAGTTTGTGCGTGCACAAATATTGAATGTCTATTTGTGTTTATTCTTATCTTGGTGTACACTCAATGTACATTAAGTGAGGTTCCCCTAGCACCCACTCCCCCCCTTGAAAATTGAGAAGAAACAATAAGAGCAGTATGTCAACCCTGTATATCTTTTTTTAGATCTTTTTAATAATACACACACACGTACACATATATATATATACTTTCTCAATCTACTTTCTCAATCAACAGAAGAACAATAAGTCAACCTCGCTGGGTTCGAACTGTGATCCTATTTGGGGGAGATAATGATGTCGCAAGAACACAAGGTCTTTGACAATAATTTTAGATTCGTGATACTAGTTACATCCTTTAATCATAAAAATAAAACAAACATTATATTATGCATAAAACACCCCAACCCACGTAACCCGAATATATGAGCGAACGAACCGGATTGCTACGAAATTGGTATCCAAACACCAATCATATTTAAAAATCATTTAAAATAAATACTTAATTTCAAACATTCATTGGAGTAATTCAAAAACATTGTGAAAGCTTAAGTCATGAAACAAAACAAAACTTGGGGTTCAACCTATTTAAGTGATAAAGGTTTAAATAACAAATAATAATTCAACTCTTCAGCTGCAACCACACATCTCATCTCCTTGCCCTCAACGTCCTCCGGGATTAGCTTCGGTTTCAATCTGGTCCTGATTTCCTACGTGCAGCAAAAGAATAAACTTTACACGCTCAACATTGCAGCTAAGTGATAAATATCTAACATTCAGTTATACATTTAGATGACCTCACTAGTTCATAACATCACACAATTTCATGCACACAACTTCATCAGGAATATTAACATCACACATTTCCATCATAAACAATATCAACAATAGGAATATTATATTCTTGTTACTTCAGTCACTAACTTACTTGGCTCATAACCCATTTAAGGTTTAAGTTTATGCTAATTCTGACTTTCTTTTTGGAGTCATGACCTTCCCCTTTGAAACAAAGATCAAGTTCAACCAACGCGAAAGTTCCTCGTTGGGTGGGAGAGATCCCCGTCCCCTTCAGAACGACAATTCGTATATCCTCGTGCGCACGTTTTTACCCAAATAGCCAATGGGGCAGTTGCAGGATATTTCAACAGCACTGCTGTTTGACACAATGAGATTCGCCAATTTAAAACGTAATTCTAATTTTCGCCCAAATTGAATGAAAATTAAAACGACAATGTTAAATAAAGTTACTTTCAAAGTAAACTTTTTATAGTCAAATTTATACTTGAATTATAGGTCTCGATGAGACGCGTTCAACGATATATTCTGTGTCTGAGTCTGAAGTACGAAACTTAGTGATTTGACCGCTTCAAGAATGAAAATACGATAAAGTAAAAGATAAAATATAAGTATGCATGCCATAAATTCAAAATGATATACATTCAATATTATTGTCCCATTTGAAAGTTGATACAAAAATTACGAATTCTAAGAGGAAATTTTTTTACTTTTGTAAAGATTTTTTTTTGCAGCATTTACCCTTGAACTCTTTAAAAATTACTTAAATTCGCCCTAAACTTTAAAAACTTTCACCAATACCTCATGAGCTTTTAAAATTGTTGCACAAATGGTCCCTTTTAGCCAGATTTTAGGACTACGTTAATCACACACTACGTGTTGGAGCTTGATGAAGATGTTTTGGATTGATGAATAGGTTGATTGATTAATGATGAGCTTTATCGACTGAAATCTATCCTTCAAATTTGGTTACGAACGACTAAATCGAGAATAATTAACAAGGGTTTAAAGAAGTTAAAAATACAGAACATAATGTTTGGGAAGGGCATATTGTTAAACTCGCGTGTGGATGAATCCATACTTGCACTGAATGAGAGTGTGATTAACTCTTAAATCTGGCGTTGAGAGATCATTGGTGAAATATTTTTAAAAATTCAAGGGCCATTGGTGCAATGCTTAAAGTTTAGGAGAAATTTATGCTGTTTTTTAAAAGTTGAGAAAGAATGTTGCAAGAAAATCCATTCCTAAAACATCCTTAATGGGTAAACTGAATCTAAAAGAAAAAGAGAATATTTATTGAATGATTAGGAATGTCAAACCCACAATATTTCATCCACAAATTACATACACGGAAGCCAATGGCAAAATGCATAGACATTCACCATTTGTTCTACTTTTCCCTCCACCTGAGAAAAATTTTAACTCCTCTTTCAAATGGAAAGAATCCATACATGACTGTCTATAAATAGGAAGAGGTGGGAGCATTCATTGCTACGCTTAAACACATTAAAAATTTTCTATCCATATATTTTACTCCCTCCGTCCCAGAAAACCTTTCTCCTTTCTTTTTTCATCCGTCCCAAAAAACACTTCCCATTTCTATTAAAAAGTCACTTTTACCCCTTACTTTTTCATACCCTACCTATCACATCATACCTTTTTACTATAATCTATCTATCAAATCATACTTTTACCCATCACATCAAGGACATTTTTGGAAATTCAATATCAAAATACACTCCCCTTAAATCCTCCTGCAAAATCAAAACTCTCATGTTTTCCGTGACGGAGGGAGTATTTTTCTTTTTGCAATGGAAGAACCTAGCTTTTACTAAAATTAGCCCTGCACCACAAGTCTTTGATATAAATCTCACCCCTAAACTGCCCTTTGATGCCAATCTCAACTTTCAAATAGAAGACATATAAAGAGGCACGCATACAAATGCAATCAAGCTAAGCCGCTAGTATTAGATGAAAGTAAGGTAAAGTAGTATTAGAGGAAAGTAAGGAAAAACATCTGAACTTTTGTTTAAACCACATAAACTCTTTTACAATGCACGTACGTAAGGCCAATAACTTGAGTTGAAGCTACCCAATCAAACTTAAATCGGGGCCACCATACTCTATGAAGGGTGTAAGAGCAAACAAATCTATAATGTCATGATGAGAAACACCACTATCAAGAAGCTAAGCCACTAGGGATTATTGGCTGAATTGAAGTGGATGAGACTACAACATTTGGTGTCAAAAGAATGATTTCTACCACGAATCAAGTTGCCTCACCCTTAGCTAGTGCTTAGGCTAAACCGGTGAGCATAGTTGGATGTGGACCGTGGTAAGTAACTATCAAGAATTGTATCCCTTTCATTCCTTTGACGTTCACAATCAGTGAGAATATTAGTTCTAGGAAACCACAATATATAGTGGAGGGAGTAAAAGTGGTATGAATAAGAAATATGATACATATAAAGAAAGTATTTATAAATGAATACAATAAATAACTAACATGTATAAACAAAATGTAAGTACAAGAAATTAAAGAGAGATTTGAGGAGAGAGATATTATCTCTAATAAGCATATCCCTTGCACATATAATAGTTTCTCAACAACATACCACCCACACAAACACAATTTTGAAAAAGCCGATTTGATGTTAACCCATAATGTATCTTTACATCTCTGCATCTCCATATATAGCTATTCATTAGATCTTCTTCCACTAACAAAAAATATGAAAACCTAACTACGAAGGGACGATAGTGCCGATGTAGCTAAACCCTGCTATTGTAAAAGTTAGTGCTTGGAGAAAGAGGTATATATAATAACGGTTCTTCCCATACATCAAGTCATACACTCCACAAAAGCACAGAAATACTGCAAACCCTAGCTCTTGTGTAAGTATCCTGATGATCAATGGAATTAAATGAAAAAAGTAACGTTAGATTAATTCCATATGAATGTAATGAAACAAAGTTTAACTTTACAATTTTACTCCTAATGCTTTAATTAATAATTACCTGTCTTTGAACAATGTTGACTTTGTCTTCTTAGCTGCAGCTTTGACGATGTTTGTTTTGTTAGTATTATTGATACCTTCTCCCAATTTTTCAGTGACAACCCATTCATTTGCCCGCTTTGCTTCAAGCAAACCTATGATTGTAGCCTTGGTGCGGTGGAAGGACATGACATTCTCGAATAAGATCCAGTAAAACAACAAGTAGATTGACCTAGGGGTACCGACAGAATTGAGAGCCGTAATAATGCATGGAATGTAAATGGCTCCCCATTTTGGGACGTTCACTTCTGGCACCAAAATTGTTAAAGGAAGAACGACGCAGTAGAAGAAGAACGTGACCATGTGAGCTATTATCTTTCGTACAAAGAAGAAGCTGTATATCACGTACACCTTCTTCCACACACTCACTCTCTAAAAACAAATTTAATAATTACACATCATTATTGTTCAAATAAATCTGTAACTACGCTTATAGATAGTAAATGTGTAGTTTATTTATGAGTTTAAACTTTTAGTTGAGGTATTGTTAACTAACCTTGTTTTTTATTATTTCCATGAACATTTTTCTGAACAAATTAGCAGGGCCACAAGACCAACGGTGTTGCTGGAAACGAAATGCTTTGAAAGTACTAGGAAGTTCACTTTTAACCTGTAATAATTGAAGTAATTAAAGGGCTATTTAAAAATTAAGCTATATGAAAAATAGATCGGAAAGTGTTAGTACTCTAATCCTATTTTATAATTATCTTTTTTCTCGTGCCTTTTCAAAAATCTTTTACTAGCGGATTTTATGCTCTAACTAAATAATGGATGAATGGAAATAGTGATTAATTCCAAGCTAATTGAGGAGTTAAATGAAATAATATGTACATGTAGGTCTCCAAGGTAAAGGAATTTCCAGCCCTTAAGACCAGCTCGGACGGCAAGATCCATGTCTTCAACAGTAGTTCGGTCTTTCCAACCACCAGCCTCTTGGATCGCTGCTATCCTCCATATGCCTCCCGTCCCTTAGAAGGATACACACACAAATGCAAGAGAAATTATAAACAAAAGTGCATTTTAAATGAGAATGGATGGTTCTAGCATATGTGGTGATCGCTACATATCAATTATTTGGAGCACTTTAGTGCTAACACACCATCAACATAGACACTCTCGTAATAAACATAACATATTAGTTACTGAGCAAACATGATGGTGTTTTGTTAGAGGAATATAATCACTGCAAAAAAAGAACCCTGACTTTGGGAATTCGTCCACGATCTAGGTTGATCTAATCCAAACAATGTGTATTAAATGTGATGTTTTTTGGTTTTGGATATTTAGAGTAGGTATTCGAAAAAATTGGATCCGATATGAAATGAAATATTACTCCCTTCGTCCTAAATCTTTCTTCCCAGTTTGACTTTTCTCCATTTTTAATTTTTGGCTTTGACATCAAATTTTACCCTCTTTAAAAAAGATTTTTTGAATTTTTTTTTGCAATCATTCAAAATATAGAGTTAGAAGATAATTGGTGTAAATACGTGAGGGTATTAATGTCATTTGTCATCTTTTTTTTAATGGGAAGGTAGTTTTAGGACGGGGAAAAAGAGGAAGTGGGAAGAAAGTTTTAGGACGGATGAAGTAGTATATTACAATGTCGGATATCCACAAATTAAATATCTCGAGTTCATATTTAAAAAATTAAATACTACGGTATAAAAATTGAACTTAGACAACCTAAGCCCAATTGATTTTTATCACCATAAATTTGATACCAATTCAAGCTCCTTATTGTTAATCATTTTCTCCATGTTGTATTTGTTCATTGGTGGGGTCCAAGGGGCAGAGCCCCTGGTCGGGGCCAGACAGCTTTGAATTTTTTATTTTGGATGTTATTGCTTTATAACTTCAGATTTTCGTGAATGGAGTCCAAAACCCTAAAGATTTGGACGTACGGATAAATGTCAAAATTAACCCAAAAACCAAAGGGAAATTAACGCGCGAACACTTGCGTCCTTTGACAAAATTTAGTTCTCTCCCTATTGTGCGAACGTACGCTTCCTTTACGTGAATGTTCATGTGTGATCGCCAAAATCTTCAACTCTATAGAAGGAGTCGTTGAGTATGGTTGAGAACGTAATTCGAAAAGCTTGTTCTTGATTAACGTCTTATCCAATTAAAGTATTTTGATGTACTCTGAAATAGCTTTGATCTAAAAGCGTATTTGCAATTCGTTAAACTATCAAGTCGTAATTCTCGTTCTTCGTTTACTGATTCTGCAACAATGCTTCGCAGCGTTCATCCTCTATAATTTCTTACAATAGTTGGATACAAGGTCCCGACCATAAATATGATCATCAAAAAGACAATGTAGAAGATATTATTGAGGGGAGGGTTCGGCTGACATTAACTCTCCATGTTATTATACGACATTGAAATCCAATATCACTTGAACCGGGTGAAGATATTATTAGAGGAAACTTATATTAAGACTTCATAATCCAAGGTGAGAAGAAATAATTTCATACTGAGTCTTATTAAAAAAGGATATTTTGGTTCAATTAATTTATACTAATACTCCTTCCGTCCTGGAGTATTTGTCCACTTTTGACTTTTTTCGGTCAAAATTGGCTAACTTTGACCCTAAATTAAATAAAAATGATACTAGATATTGATACAAAAATAGTTTTATTAGATTTATCATATAAAATATTTCCAAATTATTATTTTATCTAATTAATATACGGAGTACAATATATATTTTATTTAATTATAGGTCAAAGGTTGAAAACGTTTGACTGAAAAAAGTCAAAACTGGACAAATACTCTGGGACGGAGATAGTAATTATCACGTGTAATTTATTAATTATTTAAGTATTCGTTGGGGAAACTAAAAGACATGTATGGTCGTATTTGGGAAAACCTAATAACTAGCATTGTTTGAGTACTCTTTTTTTATTAAGAGAATGAATGTTAAGTTACGTTGGAATGAGTTGAATGGTAAAGGGTATTTACGTCTTTAGATTTGCCATCATTTTTACTTAACATGCACGAATCAACAATATAATTGAGTGTGCCAGCTATGTGAAGGAATGCCTGCAACAGCATAAACGTACTCAATAGCCTGCCAGCTTGCTTGTTGCAACAACAATTTCAGTCTAATTTTCTGCACATCTCACATTTCTTTTTTATTGTAGGTAAACATTGTTTTGTAGTATTTTTAATATTTTAGATTTGGTAGAGTTACTTTGTATATTCATCTTTCAACATACTCCCTCCGTTCTTAAAAGATTGCCATAATTTTTCTTTTTATCAAACTGTGACACTCTTTGATCACGAATTATAGAAAAAGTATATCTAATTATAATGTAAATTTAAGTAAATTGGGTTTATTTTAAAATATAGTTTTGAAATATCAAATTCTTATAATATTTAATTATTTTAAACTATATTTAATTCATGGTCGAAAAATACCACAATTTGATAAAAAAAAAGTCAAACTATGACAATATTTTAGGGACGCAGGGAGTATATTACGAGTATAAGAGTAATCATGTGAAGAAATGAAATGAAATACTCCCTCCGTCCCAAAAAGATTTACACCTTTCAAAAAAATTGTGTCCCACAATCTCCTACCAATTTCTATTAAAAAACCACTTTTACCCCTTACTTTTTCAAACCCTACCTATCACATCATACCTTTTTTTTTATAATCTACACATCAAATCAAGGTTATTTTTGGAAAGTCAACACAAAATTATCCCGCCCTTAATTCCCACTTTAGTCAAAATGTGTAAAACTTTTTGGGACGGAGGAAGTATATTTTAGATATAGTATGCGGGGGGGGCGTACCATTGAAGCCGAAGAAAGCATGAGTGGAGGAACCCACTTCTTGCTCCACTTTGAAATGGTAATCCAAAGACATCTCTTGCATTCTTGTCAACAAACACTCGTCCGCATTTGCTAATTATTTACTCCCAAAACAACCAAAACAATATGAATAGACATTAATAAAAAGAACATTTTGAATTCCATGTAATTTATGTCATACTCCCTAAATGGGATGGTTGCTTACCAAAGCGCCAACGAGCTTGAACAAGAGCGAGGTCGGGATTGTGAACCAAGAAAGGGATAGAACGAAGGAGAAAATCAGGGTCGGGCCTGAAATCGGCGTCGAGGATGGCAACGTATTCACAATCATTCACATAATTGTGTGTCAAGCCTTCCTTGAGAGCTCCGGCCTTGTATCCTCCTCTACTCACCCTCCTTTGGTATCTTATGTTGACTCCTTTGCTTTCCCACCTCTCACATTCCTTTTCCACCATATCCTATACATATACCAAACCATAAACTATTCATGCATGTTTAATCGATGCTAGAATGCATTTTTTTATGTTAACAAACAAAACTTTTACGTTTTACATATGGATAAACTTATTTTTTTTCAAGGTGTTGAATTGGACTCACCTTGATGATAGGGTCGGTGGAATCATCAAGAACTTGAATCACAAGACGATCGGATGGCCAAGACAAATTACATGCAGCTCCAATGGAGATCTTATAAACCTGTCCAAACATGTACTCGTAATTAAAATGATTAAGAACCAGATACTACTTTGTAATAGAGTCAATAACGTAACATTAAAAAAAGAATTTCCTCCCGATATGGAAGTAGACTAATATTTGGATACTACCATAATTACCCTTCTCCATTTACATTGATTTTGAGGGTCTCACTAACTTGAATTTAAAGATGGTAAAAAACAAAGTAAGAAGTATGCATGAACATGCATTATACGTACATATAATACACAAACACAAACCTCCTTTTCATTGAACATAGGGATCTGAACAAGAACACAAGGAAAAGCAGCACTCCCAATCTCGTAGTCCTCACGAATAGGTTCCCATTTGTACCTATTCTCAGGCTTTCCAAAGAAAATCTTGACCAAAACTATCACAATCCCCATGTAAAGCCTCTCAACAAAGAGCATGATTGACATGCCCAAACATATATACACCGCCACCCTAAGCGCGGGAACCATTAGAGGCTCCTTTACCAAATCCCATATCTCCGACGCCAAGTCCGACCCCGGCCACCTGAGCTCCGGGATCGTCAAGTCGATCTTGTTCGTCAAAATCCCTTCCATTAATTCAATCTTTTAATGGAAGATTGGTGTGCCAAACAATACTGCTCTTTGGTCATCAATATCGACGCGAGACCGAGCAGTATTGTGGCATTGTTCTGCGTATGGTGCAGCAATGGGAGGGGTTAGAGGAAGAAAGAAAGGCAAAGTTTATGCATGAGACATATGAGAGGGGATTTTATTGTTAGAACTAAAATTTATTCTATCTTTGCGGAGTTCCTTAGTTGCTTGAGCGGTACATATCAATGTATCATTATGATTGTTTTTGTGCATGGGAATATGGAGGGCGAAGAATGAGGGTAGGAATAGATGGATATCTTTTTTAAAAAATTGGAGTAAATACGGCTAAAATATACTCCTTCTGTCCCTAAATAAACTTTCCCTTTCGTTTTTTCTTTGTCCCCAAATAAACTTCTCTTTTCCCTTAAAAACCCTTTTACCCCTTACTTTTTCATACCCTACCTATTACATCATACCTTTTTACTAATAATCTTCCTATCACATCTTACTTTTACACATCACATCAAGGATATTTTTGAAAAGTCAACACAAAATAATCCCTCCCTTAAATCCTCAAAAAGTCAAAAATGGAAGTTTATTTAGGGACAGAGGGAGTAAGTGATTTCTCAATGTAGGATTTAAACTTTTTTATTCTATAAATATGACTTAATAATATTTACTCTCTCCGTCCCATAAAACCTTTCTCCTTTCATTTTTCATCCGTCCCCCAAAACACTTCTCATTTCTATTAAAAAGTCACTTTTATCCTTTACTTTTTCATACCCTACCTATCACATCATACCTTTTTACTAATAATCTATCCATCAAATTATACTTTTACCCATCACATCAAAGGACATTTTTGAAAATTCAATACCAAAATTCACTACCCTTAAATCACTCCTAAAAAGCAAAAGTCCCATGTTTCACGGGACGGAGGAAGTAGTAGAAGGAATAATGTCTAGTGATGGTGAACATTTACTTGAATAATGACTAACAGATAATGATCAATGGTCCTACATTGAAAAATAAAAACATATGACCCTATATTGAGAAAATCATTACTCCCTCCGTTCTCAAAAACACTTCCTCTTTCATTTTTTCCACTTCCAACAAAACACTTCTCTTTTCTATTAAAAAACCACTTTTACCCTTACTTTTTCATACCCTACCTATCACATCATACTTTTCCCCTAATAATCTATCCATCACATCTTACTTTTACCTATCACATCAGGGGGGAAATTGGAAATCAACTATAATTTAACACTTCCTTATTTTTGCCCCAAATCCAAATGGGAAGTGTTTTTCCAAACGGAGGAAGTATGTTTTAGTCATATTTAAGTAATATTTAAGTAAGGGAGCGTCTAAAATGACACCAGTTACTTACCCTTGCTCTCCCACCCCTTACACCAGTAGCACTGGTGTCATTTTAGACTTACCGTTTAAATTCTCCTATCTTTTATACTTCTAGTTAAATTTCACAAATTTATCACAAGGATTCTTTTAACGTTGAAAACTCAGGTCAGATTATGATTCGAAGCGCCTATGGTGTTCCATTGATAAAAGTAATGATTTCTATCCTTCTTAAACCCTCCACCCACCCGTCACCCTTATCCCTTGTATGACCCGGACATCTAAAGTCAAAAGATCCTTGCCAAATTTTAATAACCCGTATATATTAAGGAAAAAGTATATACATTTATAATTAATGTAAAATTAATATATATGAGATTATTTTAAAATTAGTTTTGATATACTCCATATCAAACATTTGTAACATTTATTTTTTTAAACTATATTTATATATTAATGGTCAAATCATCCTTTGACCAAAAAACAAAATAGAAAGATTTTTTTGGAACATAGAACTATAGAAGTAATAAATATACGGGATTGAAGAAAACTTAACCCAAGCATTAGAGCTGGAATGGACCGAAGGCTCAATTAAAGTAAAAGGCGGACTGGAGAGTGAAGACTGGGGTGTATTCAATTTAGACTCTGTAGGATTTTTTTGGATTTTAAAAGTCAATGGATATTCAATTCAGATTTTGCAAAATCAATTAAAATCTGGAGGTATTCAATTCAGATTTTGCAAAATGAATTATTCTCTCCGTCCTATATCTTTCTTCCCGTTGCGCAAAACGAAGAAAAATCCCAAATTTTTTCAATCTATTTTATTTAAATATTGGTATAGAAATAAAAAATAAAATATACATATTTAAAAACTACATCAAAAATTCAACAAAACAAGTGGTGATTAGAATATTTATTTTATCATATAGGCCATGAAAAAACACAAATAAATATAAATTCCCGTGAAGTTGGAATAATGCTCTGGGAAGAAAGTTTTAGGACCGAATGAGTAAAATATGGAGGTATTTAATTGAGATTTTAAAAAATCTTTCTAAATCTAATGATATTGAAAAATTGATAGATTTGCAAGGATTGTTATAAAATCTGGATTGTGATCGGATTTTTAGGTTAAAGTATAACTTATTAGCAAACCCTACTACCAAGAGCCCAGAGATTTTGTGGAATCCAAGAGCCGATCTCCTCCTCCTGCGTCGGCCAATCTTTCTCTTCTTCCCCGCAGGAGATATCTTCTCCGTCTCCTCCTCCTTCAATCGAGGGGGCAAAAGTGACGGAGACTTTGGAAAAGTGGGGCGGCGGAGACTGCCACAAAGAGGGGCGGCGGAGACTGGCGAAGAGGAGCAGTAGTGGTCAGGAAGAACCGACTTGATTTTTGGTTTCTTCACCATCTTCTTCTCTTCACTTTTCCAAAGATTTCTTTTTCAATTTCTTTAAAGAAGAAGAAAGATTTGTATTGTAATGGAGTAGAGGGGGTTGAGGAATTGAGGATGAAGAGATTTGATTTTTAATTTCTTGATTTTGTAGATCTAAAATTTTATTAAAAAGTTACAAGGAGCGGAGATGAAGATGAAAGAATTACAGTAGAAGTACGAAGACGAAGTAGGATCAAATTGCAAATCCATGTCAGTTCTGTAGAAATTGAAGGGCCGTAATTGAGTTAGGTGTCATTTCAAATTTTGATAATGGAATAGAGTTTTAAAAATCTAGACAAATCCTAACAAATACGGAGTATCATAAATTCATAATACTAGTTTTTAATCACGTGCTTCGCACAGACTCGTATATACCCTTAAAGTTAAATTTTTTACGGAGTATTAAGTATGACAGTTTTTAGGTATAAATAATAAATAAATAAGAAATATAAAAAAATTGGAGAATAAAATACTAAATACATGGTAGTGAACTTTTCTAAAAAGAAAATGTAATTTTATTGTTAAAAAGGAAATAAATAGGAAATGACCAAAGTAAAGCCAAAAACACAAAAAATAAAGAACCCTGAAAAATACCAACACATGAATCTAGATCTTAATCTAAAACTGCCAACAACAAAGGAACCAAATGAGTGCCCAACCATATATTGTCTCTAGAATACCAAGGTTGTTGCTTATCCTGGACGTGAAACAAAATTCCAGCCGTAACAAAATAAGTAGTTTTAAGCATCCTTTTCTTGGATACACTTTCAAGACCCCCAATCAAAACACAACCAAAGCTACTCTACATTTGAATGAAATTCTATTTTTAGGCAGCATAAGATAATTCCAAGGACAACATCACTTCCTTCCATGGCAATAGGAAAGTCGTTCTGCCTCAGGTAGCCATCATCATTTTGAAAGGTTCCTTCCATGACAATAGGCACTTGTTATTCCCATTGCCTAAAACACTTGCAAACAGATTAGTCTTCAATACATGAAGTATTAAGTATAGCTATAAACTATAATATCCAAAACAATACATGAGTGTTCTCTAGCTACCAAATTGTGACCCTCCACAATGTTAAAACTCCATAAGGTTAGATCCATCAACAAACCCATCTCAAAAACATCTCTATCGAATAAAAAACGGAGTAGCAAAGAACAAATAAAATCTGCCCTATATATACTTTGTAGTACAACTTTTTTTTTACTCTCCTTGTTTTTTGGTCTTCTGTTTTTGGGCTTTGTTTATATACTTTGTAGTACAACTTTGTTTTTACTCTCCTTGTTTTTTGGTCTTCTGTTTTTGGGCTTTGTTTTGTTCACATAGCGCGGCAAGGAACTTCCTTGACCAATAATGGAGAAGGTAGGTATTGACTTACCTGAGCTTTTTATTATCCAAAACATGTTGTAGTACTTCTCTTCACTGTCCCGGACCTTATATTTTTTCGCCAAACAAAAAATAAGACTACATGGCATGAAATAGCTTTCACCTAGAGTATCTTTTTCTGCACATGAAAACTCGAAGAAGCTAGACGTCTGCACAAAATGGACACTCCTAATATGTAATTGTGGAACACACAAAAATCGTAACGCAATTAACCTCAATCTAATATGGCATGAAACACTAAACACCAAAAGTAATAAAGCTACAACTACCTCATTACACCACTATGGTATTCAAACAGTTCTATACTTGATATAGATTTAAAATCTCGATTTTATGAATATGATTTTTATAAATCTCTAAAACTTTATAATGAATAGAAATGAGATGACAAACCAAATAACTTGCACTGAAGTGTTTAACCTGCTTTGATTGTAACTTGCAGGTCATACATAATTAGTGTGGCATATTCATGTCATTATGGTTAATGTAATGGATGTCCCTCATGTCCCTACAGAAAGAATCAACAATCCCCTCTGTACTATACATTTCTTCACCTATGAAGAATTAACAACAATTCACCTAAGTAATAATGCAAATGAAGTGACTCATTTAGTGTTTGAACAATTTATGTACTTCAATTCAACATTATCCATGTGAAAAGTCATTCTTTTTTCTTGAATAAACTCATGCAGCTAGCAACAACATGACTATATACCGATATATGGCTAAAATTCAACAAATATAATAGAGCAATTTCACAGAATTGATATTGTATCATTTGGATATTTAAAATAAATCATGGCTCCATACCGCACCGGTGCAAGAGAAAGCACCACCCATAAAATAGATTCCGGCAAAACTTTTGTTGTGAAGCTCTGCGTATAAGCATTGTTATTGTTATTAATGAGTTTGACACAAAATGAAATATAGAGTAAAACTGAAATTTAATAGATTCTGGCAAAACATATATTCTCAACTTAATTACCAAAAATCTATTAATTGTTATCTTTTGAATTCTGTGAAGCCTGATTATATGCTATCTTGGTGCTACTTCCATGAGGGATATTACGTGGTTTGTTGAATAGTGCATAGTTGAGAGAAGATTTAGTGTGTAACACCCCCACCTATTTGAAATAAGGGAGGACATAATCACATTCAAAATCTCCATCTTTAAAAACATTATACAATACCCAATTCGATATCAAACTAATCAAAGGTAAATTCACAGGCTGAATGTAGGTAAAGTACATTAGCACTCTTTGACGATCATTATCCTGATATGTTGTGATCTGTTGTTTTTTTATCAATCCTACTTATCTAGCTATCATATTGAGATGTACATGTATATTGATCTCTTTTATCCTTTTTTTCATGAAGATGGTGATCATGATTTGTTATGCTCTGATTTGTTCAGCTCTATTCTGTTACTTGCACTTGCCATTTTTTTTGCTTATTTTGCTCACCGCTTTATAAAAAGGCTGCCTTACCTTTATTTGCTATTCACACGTGCTTGAGTGGAACACTATTGATATGTTTTGTTATTGTTTTCACGTGTTAAAGATACATACTAACGGGATAGGGGGAGTTGGAATTATAATCGAGGAGTGTGTATGTGTTATGTTGTTTTAAAGTATTGTAACCAAACGTGCAAGGAGTAACATTTCTTGTGAAAAATGGTGTTTTAAACTAAATGTTAATAAACAGACAAAGCCAATGTTTTGTATAAAGAATAGTGCTACCTAATAGTGTGTAATACAAAGTCTTACCTTGAGTGTTGTAGTCAAGTGATACCAAAGAGTATGGGTTCACCAGCGACAATACCACCCTTTAAAGCATATTTTTAGTTGAGATAGTAATTAATTATGTACAGTCTTGTCCCAAAGAGTGAGCTTCGATTTCATAGCACTACATTTTCATATAAAAATGATAAGTAACATTTTTTATTCATCGACAAATACAAATAGTAAGTTTTTAAGGCTAGAAATAGTATAATTTAGTAACCCCAAATCTTGTAAATTGCTGGAGACACTCTCTTGTCAAATTATGCATCCAAAATAAAGGGTGATATGAATATGATGTGAAGTTCTTTAATAAGTGAATGATCGAAGGGAAGGTGAAGTGCTTTTCCAATATCTAATTTCTGAATCTGTCTTATACAGGGTGTTATTCATTCATTAAAAATATGCATATGTATCTATTAAGAATAGGCAACTAAAAGCTTCAACATTGGGAATTTTAGTTATTTTATTTATATGTAATAACAGATGCACACCAAACAACTTAGTTGAACACTCAAAGATGATTTATTATGGATCTATTTGAAATCAGAATTAGTGTTTAGGTTTAGAGTTTCAAAAAAGCTGTCAAAGGATAGTGTTTAGCTTTAACGTTTTCATAGTTAAGATATGCCACTTTAAAAAAAATTCAAAGCACTAAGAATACTAAAAATGCCCACTTATATAGATACAAATACACACAAATCCTAACTCAAGCAGATCCCAACTTATCTTCCCTCTGTAAGTCATCAGTAGAGATATGGAATAGCAAATATATGCAATCAATTAACCTAAAAATGAAAGAAGTAATTAACCAAAAAGCATCTAATCACCCAAACCCACATAAAAGAATGAATGAACGAACACACCTTGAAAACCACACATTTGTGTATCTTCTTGTCTTCAAAAACATAAAAATCAATGATTAGAAATCAAGAATAAGCACCTGCAATGGAAAAGAGATATAGCATATAGATTGATGAAACAAAAAAACAAACAGGTTGCGCTCATACTCAGAGATCAAATTGTGAAATTTAAAACCAGCTACTCCATACTGTAATATCTAAGCTTAAAATTCATTCTACGAATCTACAGGTATTTATAGGGTACCAGAAATAAATCACATTAGCATCAATCTATCAAATTTATAGGGTGTTTATCTACCCAAACATCAAATATCCAAGAATCCAAACAAATCAAATAGCATCAATCTATCAAATTAATCCAAAATACAAACAATACACGCAATTTAAAACAAAGTCTCTAAAATTGGATTTCAAGAAATCAAAAAAGAAATGCATGACTATGTACCAGACACAGTCATCTTAAAATATGTGAGTTTGCGAATTGGGAGGGGACAATCACGGAAATAAGATTTAGCCACGATCACACGCCAAACTTGATAATTGGTTTCAGTAAACTAACCATGAGATCTTTGACGCGAGCAGAGACGGCAAACCAGACTCTCCTCACCGGAAACGCCAGCTTCCGCCGCCTATCACCTTGGACTGGGACTTCGTCCTTTTGTGAAAAAACAATAGCCTTATCCCGGCCAGAATTCCTCTTATGTATCTCCAGCTTAACACTCCTCAATTGATTCTCCGACCTGACCCACCGCCAATAGTAAAATCCGAATTCCCAATGCAAAAAGTATTTAGATCCACGGACAGTGCCGCCGTACGGATTAGTGGAGGCGCTCTACTGTTCTTCGCCTTCATCCGGTCAATCAGATGATTCTCTGAGAAGGGGTGCAATTGTGCAAAGAAACGGATGGACATTCAAAAGTCAGAAGAACAAATAACGTAAGTGGTCAGTCAGCTATCAATTGCCAAATAAGCACAAAACATCCAATGTGGATCCTATGTGGTATGCCAAATGTCAAACCCACAGTTAATATATATATATATATATATATATATATATATATATATATATATATATATATATATATATATATAATGAGGGGCTGGTTTAAGTGAGAATGCACCTTGGTGAAAGAAATAAGAATAAAATCTAGCCTTTGGATCTGATGCATCGTGCGACTCAGATTGCATTCAGCACTCAAATTTCGAGATAGTGCATTTTTAAAGGATTATGGTGCATCTCGACATGATTCATTTTCAAACCATCTTAGTGCACCTAATTTTGATGCAATCCTAACTCTTAGATCTCCTAATCTAATGCACTAGATTCATTCTTATTTCTTTCATTAGATTGCATTCTCACTTGAACCAAAATCTATATAATGATATATGATATATGATACTCCGTATATGATATGATATGATATACGGAGTATATAATAATACATTAAAATCTATTGAAGTCTAAGAAGAATTAAAATAATCCATAAGTCTTATATAATTCATGAATTATAAAAAATCCAACACAATCATTCAAAATCTGAATTAAATACACCCCTGAATCTATTATTTTTAGTTGGTTTTAGATTTAATCCTACACAAATCAAAGAGACCGAGTCAAACGAGACTAATTGAGAGACCAAATTAAAAATGCAATATGGGAATCCGAGTATCAAGTTAAGCGAGAGTTCAACAATTTTAAGGATGATTTATAGCCAATTGAGAGATGTACTCCGTCCCTTCTTAAAATATTTATCCTATTTTAACCTTTTCGAATTAATTAAAATTAATTTTTGACCTTTATTTAAATAAAAATTATATGGTATATTGATTAGATAAAATCATATTTTGAAAATATTTTACATGATGAATATAATAAAATTATTTTTGTATTAATATTTAACATCAATTTTATTTAATTTATGAATAAAATTTGCTAATTTTAACTACGAAAAGTCAAAATTGAACAAACACTCCGGGACGAAAGCAGTATATAAATTACATGAAAAAAGGGTGGAGCTCTCACCCCGAGAGTCCCCGCACCGCTACCTAGTGTTGGTAGAAGAGGTAAATCTCGAGATGTGCCTTCTACCTGGTTGGAGTGAAGGGAAGGGGAGGGAATCGGAATCCCTCCCCTTGTTTGGTTTAAAAACATGTAAGGAAGAGGACCCAAAATTTTAGCTTCAGCTTGCAGATTTTGTACCCTTGGAGACTATATTGTGATAATCAATCAGCCCTGTACATTGCAGCGAATCTCGTCTTTCATTAATGTATGAAACATATTGATGTTGATTGTCAGACGGTTCGTGAATCTATTCAGCACCATGAAGTGTCCACACAGTACATTCATACTCGTTATCAGTTAGTGAATATTTTTACTAAATTCTTGTCTAAACCTGCTTTTGATTTCTTACTTTGCAAGTTAGGCATTAATGACATTCATGTGCCAACTTGAAGGGAGTGTTAGCGGATATTTGTATATAGGTTTTTCTATAGCATATTGGGCTAGGCCCATTTCTGTACTTATATTTATATCGTTTCACGATTTATGAAATTTAGATCAGTTTCTACTAAAATTCTACAGCCTACAACAGGAATAGAAGTTGGGATATCTGTTCCATCAATTGTCCCAATACAATCCTGTAATATCATAAGTAAGAAATTAAGCATTAAATTTTGTTATATTTGACTTATATAAGTTATAATGTGTCGGTGTCTACCTCTTTGTGTATAACACAATTTACCTTAAAATGTGGCATGTACTGCGATCATTTTTTATCTATTCTGCAGTATGTTTAAACTGTCAATCAGATGGTTGAATCACATCAGAACCCATGTCAATAATGGTTTCTAATACCATATTAAAGTATCTGCTAATTGTTTCTCCAAATCTTTGAAAACGTTCTTGAATTTCTCTATTTGACTCTCCATGACCCAAAATATATACAAACGCTACGCACTCAACCTTGAAGCTAAGTGAGAAATATATAAAATTTAGTTATACATACAGATGACCTCACTAGTTCATAACATCACACAATATCATGCACACAAGTTTATCAAGAATATCAACATACTAATCCAACTCGTAAACAATATCAACAATATGAACATTATGTTCTCGTTACTATAGCTAGTCTCTAACTAACTTAGCCCACAACCTATTGTAGGTTTAAGCTTTTACTGTTTCTGGCTTTAATATTAGAGTCATAATCTTCCCCTTCGGTTTCGGAACGAAGATCAAGCTCAACCAACTCGGGAGTTCCTGGTTGGGTGGGTGAGATCCCTGTCCCCTTCGGAACGAAAATTCGTGGATCCCCGTGCGCAGTTTGTACCCGAATAGCCATTAGACCTAGTATTTGCCACATGGCTCTAACCTTTCAATCCTTATGGTATATCTTGCCTCTATTCCTTTCAGGTCAAATCTCAGAGTTCCTCTAGGTTCATATGTTGTTTTAATTTCATATTACATTCACAAGTGCGTATCACATAGATAAACATAATCAATCATTATCAAACATCGGCGTAGCGCTGGGTGTGAACATTCATGTTTATTCTCACGCAACACACAAGGTCTCGGAATAAGTCCTCGACATGAAAACAAATTTACAAACAAATTCTGGGTTCTAGGCAGTTGCTAGTCCGGTACTGGGGTACTGGCACGGTACGTCGATGTTGTCCAGGCGGTACCTGGTACCGGCGGGAACAGAGTCCGCCAACACCAGATAGCTTGTGACGGTAGCCGTTGGCGGTAGGTCCTACCGTCCATCTGGAACCTTGGTACTGGACGAGTGCAAGTACTGGCAGAGCGAAAAGGCCTCACACAGTATATATCGAGGTCCCGGTCGTCGTACCTAGGTACCGTCTGACACGAATTGAACCTACATGTTAATACACCAGCTCAATTTCTAGCACGATCCATCATGCAATTCCGAACGTTTTAACACAAATACATTCATAAACAAATTTCTAACTATATCCAACCTTAACATACCCAATTATAACTCATTCTTACACAAAATCACACATTCCAACAAAACTTCCTAAAATAGGTTTTCGCGTAAATGAACCCTAATGATCGTACGAGCGTAAGATTCAAACCTATAGGCATAACCTACTGTTAGATGTCCACGTACTCACCTTGAATTTGTCGAATGAAAGCTACGAAGAATGGAACCTAACGAATGGCATTGATGCCACAGCTTCTCTTTGAAAAATATTTCATAAAATAAATCTAATCAAATTATTTTTTTATCAATATCAAATACAATAACAACAACATACCCAGTTTAATTTTTTTATCAATATCGAATATCACTTTTAATTAATTTGTGGCCAAATTTTGTTAATTTTGACTAAAAAAAATTAAATACGAACATATACTCTGACATAAAAGAATTGATCTATCCACCTTAGATATGGCGGTTATATACATATAAACGGACGCCATAAACGGAGTATATTACTATATTTCATCCGTGCTTAGATAATTTTGCACTATTTTTTTTCCTTCCACGTTTTGAAAAAAAAAAGTTTGAAATATGACTCAATCTTCCATACAGATAGGAACAAACTAGTTTTTAAAAATTAATTTTAACATCTTTCTAATTTGTTTGAAGAACTCACTGAGCTCTCTTAAGTGAATTGTTCAAAACAATAGAATAAACCTAACTTAAGGGGAAGTATCATGCTGTATTCGATCGGTTTAATTAGTTTGCTCCAACACACCAAGTGCCTTCTTTAATTGCACTATATACAGTTAGTCAACCTTTCGTTAGATGGGGCTAACTGGCTAGCTTCAATTAATTCGTGGGACTAAAGAAGTGAGTTCCTTTCCTTTATCAAGCCCCTACCTTCTACATGTTTTAATTACTCTCTCCCCTTAGACTCTTATTTATAGGTCAAATAAATTTTATTTCTTTATAAATTTTTATCGATCATTTAATAAAATAAAATAATTTGTGATCATTTGTTATGTAAATTTTTTGATATAGTACTTTTATTTATAATTTTTATTTTTTATTTATACCAATTTATATTTATACTGATTTGAAAATAGTTTTAGCCAAGCATCGTGAACCAAAACGAGAGCCTTATTTTAAGACGGAGGAAGTATTATACCTTCATCATATGCGTATTTAAATTACATACTCGGTAATTAATATTCATTTTGCATATTAATCTTTTATATTATACATAGAACATTAATATTATGAAATTAATGCTTCATTCATTTTTAAAAACAGTTTCACCTTTATTTTTAGCGCATCTCAGTAAACACTTCTGCCAGCTCTAAAATATCTAAAAACACATCCAATTTCAGTTTTATTGTGGGTGGGAGTTGTTTTGAGGGGTATTTTAGACGATTTTGGTGTGGTAAGTAATTTGTGATATACACAAAAAATAAAGGCGAAACTAATTTTATAAAACGGAGGGAATATATGCATACTCTGTATTTAATAATTTTAAAAAACGAAGGGAATATATGCATATTTAATAATTGCACAATGTTACATTTAATTGTTGAAAGATTTTATCATTGAACAGAGGGAATATATGCAGATTTTATGTCCAATGCACAATGTCATTATATTGTTGGTGATTAGTATCATCGATTCATCGCCATTTACATACTCCCTCCGTCCAAAAAGAAGATTACGTTTCATTTTTTGTGCATCTCATAAATACTTCTATATTGTCTCAAATGCCAAAAAGAACTTCCAAAAAGACTTCTACCCTAAATGCGACAAATTTTAGGCATTTTAGATGTGGGTAAAAGTGTTTTTTGGGATGCGCAAAAATGAAGCGTAACCTCCTTTTTGGGATGGAGGGAGTATGTAACTGGATTCATTTAGATCGAACGTATAATTTTATTATATGTTTTTAAATGTGTTCCAAGGTGTGAAGTACTTCAT